GCAATATCGAACACAAACTAAAAATAAGCGTGATCGTGATTGGGATAATAAGAAATGAACTCTCCTCTGCCTTTCAGATCATCTTGAATAATTTTTAATTCTGTTGAAGTTGCTTTTTTTGTTTTTTCTCTGTTTTTCCTTTTGTTCTGCGTGGAATGAAAACGTTGTTGCTTTTCAATATTTGCATTGGCTGAAACTTGCTTTGTTGCATCTGGCGATTTAAATTCAGACTTTGTTTCAGTTAAATCTAGTAGGGCTTCAACATTTTTTAAATTTGACAATATTTGAGAAAAACATTCCTCATTGAGACTTGTTACATCTTTAATATGTACCTTAGTTTGCAAACCAGAAAGTTTACTCTCAATTGTTTCTTTTATTGTTTCAGGACATACTGAGGTTGCAGTTAAAGCAGACATACAAATAGCTACATTATCTTCCTCAGATACTTCATTTTTTTCAGTAATGATTTCATGATCAATGCTACAATCCATGTGGTTCATCACAAAGTAATGGATATGTTTGCATATAGTTGATTTAACAAAGTAATCCGTGCACGTACAGGAAAATTCATGAAAGCAAATTTTGCAGAAGTTACAAGTCATATTGCAGCAATTACCAGACAGTTGTTTTTCTACATAATATTCTTGATCCTTTGAGCAGACCTTCCATTTGTTATTTTCGAACTTAATATCAAAACAGCTGGCCAATGCTGTTCTGTGTCTGGCAATAATTTCTTTTGTATGAACTGTATATTTTCCCTTAGTATGTTTGATAAGCCTATCCACTATTTTGTCTCGTGTATATTTTAAGACGGCATGCAATCCCTTGTCCAATCGTTTCACCTTTTTCTTATTTAAATAGAGATATTTAATTACTTTGTGCATACTTTCCAATCTCATATTTGTATTTATTCCACACCCTTTACGATGGCACATGGCCCATTGTTTAAAATTATTACAATAATTCTCCTTAAAATATAATCCAAAATTTCTAGTGTCTGCATCATCCAATAATTTGTTTAAAGTTGTCTCAAGTTGATTTTTAAATGTGTCAGGGTCCAAATTACTTTGCAAAACTTTAAGTGTTTTATACACCCATTCTCGCTTATCTTTTATATTGATTTTTGAAAGATTTTTCTGCCAAGCACGGTCAATGTGCCAGGCGCAAAATAATTGGTTTGAGACAGGCCCCATAACAAGCATCCAAGCGTTATAGAACACGGTAGTAATATCAGACATAAACGTCCTAGCTTGTATGATGCCTACTCTACTTTTAATACTTTCAAAAAATACTGTATGAACGTAAGTATCCTTTCTGTTAGTAAATAAATAAGCAACTGGAAACCCTTCTCCAAACTCATCAACAACTAAAACTGTTGTCATTTTAAAGTCATATTGATTCAGTCCATGTGTGGAATCTACTGCTATTATATTACTTCCATGTTCAGTTAGCATGTGTTCTTGATAACTATTCATTAAAATTAAGCAAAAGTCATTAACAGCAAAGCCTTCAGACACATCTCCTTGCTTCTTATAGACTAATACTGGATTGTCTTCTGTTTCATTACACTGAAATTCTTTGACACACAAATCTATGCTAGTTGCATCGTCCACATGTTTAACTCCATTTACTATTTCAAGTTTAAAACTTCTTGTAATATTTTTAATATCTTGAAGAGTCAATAGGTCAGCTCGTTTAACTTCATGGCCTATTTTATTTCTGTTCATATCCAGGACTCTGCAAAAAAATCAAGTTAAATGGCAAATGACAATTGAAAAAAAAATTATAATTACTTAATTTTTGATGCCCATTTATAATTTTTGAAGCAATTGCTTTTCGATTCCCAGTTGAAAGGCGGAGATGTTCAATTTGTACTTTATGCCCATAATGAGTTTTCTGCCTCGTAACCTCTATGTTGGCATTTCCATTATTTTGCACAGTTATTTGACTGATGCAAGCCTGACCTGATTTACAAGATCCTTGCGACTTGGTAAGACGTTTTGCGTCAATTTTATTTCTTGGAGTTTTTTCTAAAATCATAGGATAACAAGTTAGAAATTGCAGGGTGGAATTTTTTTCATAAATTAAGGATTCTAATTAAAAGGTACCTAATGTGTTTAAACTGGTAAAAGCTTTGCTATAGCTAAATGTAAACTTTAATGATTAGGCATTATTAAAGTACCTGATCTTACTCCTGATCTATTACAAATATAATATGATATTTCTGCACCTGAGCTGGTCACTCTTTTCCCTCGGGATATAATATAGTTACATTTTTCTTTTACCTCTACTTCTTCCTTCCATGCACTAAATTCTACAACCAATTTTTACAAGTAAGAAAAGGATGAGGATTGAAAAGTAGTGACTACGTGCTATTAACTATGACTATATAGTAGGGCTCACCTTTAAAATCCTTGAAAAACAGTTGTTCTCTTTGTATATCGATTTGGTGTTGATTTTGCAAATGGTAAACTAAATCTGTATTTTGCCGAAAAGAACAATTACAATGTATTTCCAGGCACTTGTAATTATAAACCGTTTTGTCATAGGACACCACTATAGGCATTGCATGATGAACTTTTTTAGAATGCTTATTTAAATTATACTGCGTGCTAAACACTTTTTCACAAGTGCGACACATAACTGGCATGGTGTCTTTTCTTTCAAAAACATTCAATTGACACTCAAGACGATTGCCATAAGTATTTGTTTCAAAGACAAATACTCGAACTTCGCAATAAATAACAAACGCAATAAATGACACATTACACATGATACATGACATGTGTTTCAAAATACCCCCACCTGATAGAGGAGAGACAGAACAGAATCAGGGCTGGATGCTCCCGTGTACGAGTTTTGGTTCGTCCCGCGCATGACGTCACTTGATGAGTAGTTGCCGTGCGAATACACGAATAATAGTAATATTATCAAAGAAAATAGAGAAATTTCTGGACATAGTGCGTTTTTATTAAACTTAATATTGAAGAAAGTGTTATAATATGGATAATAAATGCTTTCAGTCCTTGATAACATTTAGGGCTGTAGTTTAAGCGTTGGTGTTTTAAATTAAACTTATAGTCACTGTCCAGAAAATGTTTATAGAAAACAGAAGCGGTCTTAACGTAAATATTGTCTATTATTTTTGTGGCATTTAAACACTGTTTCCACAAATCAAACTTTTTCGGGAATCGTTTAAATTTAATGTTTTTATTTAAAGGGTTTTTCTTGGACTGGTTGTCCGAATTGCATCCAAATATGCCACACCGCATTTTAATAAATGCAAATGGCACTATACAATCTAAAACACAAACAAGACAAGTTAACGCAACACAAAAACAATAATAAACAAACCTAACAGGTTAACCTAACGCAATAACAATAATTTGAACGCTGAAAAGTAATTCGAACCTTACCGAACACAAAAACGACAAGTTAAACAAAAAGAGCAAGTTAACATCCAAAAGCATCGCAAAAACAAGAATTTTAGCAGCAGATAATTAAAAAGCACGTTAAAGATTTAAAAACACTCATCAAGTGACGTCATTAAGCCCCGCCCAACATGCGCACCATCCTATCTTAAGGTGTATGTATCTTGGAACAGAATATAGGATATACGACGCATGCGCATATACTGGAATACTTTGCGTTATTTAACGTCTCGTCTCTGCAACCCGCTAATCCTTTTTGCCCCCCATTTGGAAAATTAAGGTAGTCCAACAGGACTATTATTTGGCAAAGTTTTGTTAAAATCGGAGACAACATCATTTTTAGGTGGGAACACTTGAGGTGTTTTGCCCCATATATAATATTATGTTGCCATAAATTCATAGGTATATTTTGTTGTTTAAAATGCAGTTGTCGGCGTTTTTTAGAGAACTCAAATATAAAAATGATTGATTTTAAGGTTATGTTTGTGCAAAAATGATTTTTTACTAATTTCTTAAAAATGTCTAAACTTAAATATAAATTATATTAGGTAAAGTTATCATTAGTTAATTCTGCACCAAAAAATGTACTTACTGTAGTGGAACCATTAGGGTCATTATTTTATATTTCCGTAATTTTATATTAAAACATTATTGGCTTTAAAATACAAGTTAATAACTTTATAATTGCTGACTTTTATTAACAAATAATTCAATGAACCCTAGGTGCGCCACGTCATTTCCCTGAGGTAGCATATTTTCATATGCACCTTATAATTAGTAATCAATTTGTTAGTTAGTAAGATATTAGATATAATTCGAATAAGACAGTATTTAGGGCTGTACCTATACTTGTACTTTATTCTCTAATATATATAGTTATGGGAAATATATTGTCTAATTTCTAATTAATTTCGAATTGGATCCTTTGGCAAAACATGAAAATGCAACGATTTAGTTCTTGAATTTTATTTACAATTAAAAACACAATAATTCACTATAATCCCTTTCATAAAATACACACACTAACGTAACTATATAAGCATTTAAGCGTTGAGTTACTTAATCAATGATATAAGGAATAATTAATCGAAATCGAGTACTAAAAAAGTTTTTAATTTTTTCCTTGCAACGTAAAACACAAATAACGTGCGCGATTTAGCTGTGCAATTGAACAAAATTTGTCGAGTAAGACTTCTGCCTTCCTCTCTTTTGTAAAAAAACTACCTATTTATTTAAAAATTATGTATAATCGGGGCTTTAAATTTATTGTTGACAATTCTTAAATTCACGCAATGCATTGAAGTCCACCAGATGGCGCGCGCGTTGCGAAAACCCAATACTGCTTTAGCGTATTATGGATTATTTTTGTCAGTGCTTAATTTTTCTGTTTTTTAGATCTATGTTTCTGTTTTGGTAATAAATTTTTCAAAATCACAGAAATTAATCAATTAATTCAAAATATTTTTATTTTAAAGAATGTTTTAACCAAGGCCTAAATTTAAGCCACCGTTAAATTTGTCATCGGCATACACTAGTGGATACTGTACATTTTAATAAAAATATCCATTTTTAATATTTTAAAGATTTATTAAATTAGATAACTACAATTAACATAAAAAATGTAGAAAAAATAAATTAAAATTAAATAAACATAAAATATTGACGTTTTAAAAATAATATACATAATATATCAGCTCAGCATCAAACCAAACGTGATGAAAAACTTTAATATAAATACTGAAACTAATTCAAAGTTTTTCTTGTTGGTTTCAGTTTCAAGCTTTAAAATTTATATGAAATAATTTATATAAAAAATTACTAAATTCAATTCAAGTAATTTACCTACTTAATCATCTTCCCTCTTCTTCAAATTCCGGTTGATCACTAATCGGCATAAGGGTGTAACGTGGCGGTTTTCGCCAAATGCGCTCGATGTTCTTTTTAACTTATGCGATTCTATTGCCTCAAATATTTCAGTCAGATCAGGTGTAATTGCTTGACAACAAAAGAATGTGTTTTTGCAAGCTTCCCCGGCTGCCAGCATTGCTTCTTGCATTTCCTTCATTGCTTGTGCTAAAATAATAAAATGGTAAAAAACAATTTTATTCCGACCAAGGATCAGCATCCTATATATAAAACCTTACATGTGCACCACGGTAGAGTGGGTATCCTTTTTTTACTTCTTTCATCATCAGAATCATAGCAATCTTCTGTAGGAGCAATGGCGCTTTTGAAATCATATATTCAGGCATTTTTTGAGTTGCCATTTTCTGTTTTTCCTTTAGGGCGGCCCTACGTTTTTTCTTCAATTCGAAGCGCTTCCTGTTTCTCTTTTAACAACTTAATAGCAGCGCTTTTGTCTTTGTTTGGTAACCGTTTACGGTCACGCACTCTGATATGTGTGTTTTGTTTCTCTTCCTTTTCCGCCAGTTAACTGTTTAGTTCGATCTTCCTTTAACCTAGAAATTTTAAATATCAAGTTGTGTTGTCTGCCGAAGCGACAGGTTGCTTAATGAAACAGTCCTTGGGAGGATAAAATAAATTTCCAGCACTAAAATACACTGGTCAGTAACAAAAATTCAAAATCTACAATACATGAAACAGTCCTTGGGAGGATAAAATAAATTTCCAGCACTAAAATACACTGGTCAGTAACAAAAATTCAAAATCTACAATATGTAGGTTGATTGAAATATTTTAAAAACTATCTGCATAAAGCCATTTACCATATGGTTGGGGAACTATGAAATGGAGTTTAAAGGAGTTTACCCGCGGCAAAACTTGACAGCTGTTGTCACCAAAAATTAAAATTTATATTTTAGTTGTTAACTGAACTCATGAAATAGTCAAATACCATTCGGGCATCTAATTTTTCCCGTGAAAAAAATCGAAAAAACAATGCTAAGTAATATTTTTTAACAAAATGCATTCATGCAGACAGAGGAGGATTTTTGCACCTGTGCAAAAATCCTCCTCTTCGACTCGGATTTTTGTTGCCACAAGCACTCATGCTTTTTGTTAAAATATTACTTAGCAACGTGTTTTTTCGATTTTTTTCGGAAAAATTAAATGCCCTTATGATATTACTTACAAAAAGATCATGACGTATAAATAAATATATTAAGAAAAAATATTTTAAGAATACAACCAATTGGTAATTAAGAAAATAAGTGTAAAAATGTCATAAAGAAAAAGTGACATACTATGGGGGGTTTGGCAGTACATTATCTTTGGGTTGATTTTATATTAAATGCATTCATAAATTGCAATAGATACCCCACTTGCAAAAACAAAATTGTCATTTTATTAAATTTGATTAAAAAAAAGACTGATTTTCTAATTATTTTTTATTTTAATACAAGACACTATATACATATACAGGGTGCACCATATATCCTTCTCTGTTAAACAAATATTAGAAATATTCCCCATCACCAAAACAAAACACAAAGCACAATCTATCTAACCATGTAAAATTTTAAAATGACGGCCATAGGAAAAACAAAAGGTGGTGGTGGTATCTAGTAGGCGTAAAAAATCACAAATTGGATGACAATGTAGATAAATGTGTATGTTTACATGTAAAACATATTTATTTTTATTCCCAGGAATAACGAAGTTTTGTTTCTGATATGACAAGTTTTCAGTTTTTTTCAAATTATTTGAGAACCATTTTTTTAAATTTTTAACCCTTTATCCCTGGGAATTTTGAAACAAAGTCAGTTTTACATGTTAACATACACTGTTAATCTACATTTTCATCCAATTTCTTTGCTAGTATGTTTTGAGTTACCATCACCATCTTTTGTTTTTATAATGGTGGCCATTTTTATCTATCCAACCATGTAAAATTTTAAAATGACGGCCATAGGAAAAACAAAAGGTGGTGGTGGTATCTAGTAGGCGTAAAAAATCACAAATTGGATGAGAATGTAGATAAATGTGTATGTTTACATGTAAAACATATTTATTTTTATTCCCAGGAATAACAAAGTTTTGTTTCTGATATGACAAGTTTTCAGTTTTTTTCAAATTACCTATTTGAGAACCATTTTTTTAAATTTTTAAATGTCATTATAATAGGCTTGTAATTACCCAACTTTTGTCTAATTTAACCGACCTTGTAAAGGTACAATTTTTTTTTTAATTTTTTCAAAAAAAAATAAGAAAAAACCTAAAAAAACTCTGAAAACCGTTTTAAATTTAAAGAGTTTGGGTTCGGTTTTTAGAGTTACGTTTAAAAATAATATGGGTTCGGTTACGGTTCCGGTCCACAAATAAATACCGGTTCCGGTACGGTTTTCTGTCCAAAAACGGTCCGGTCCGGGTCCCTGCTTAAAGTAACTCGGTTACTCAAAAGTATCTTAGTTACTTAAAAGTATCTTAGTTACTCAAAAGAATCTTAGATACTTTCATATAGTATCTTAGATACTTTTTAAAGTATCTTGTAACTAAAGATACTTTTAACTCAAAGTATCTAGTTACCAGAGGTAACTAAGTTATTTTGTTTAAAGTATCTTAGAAAAGTAACTAGATTCTTTTCAGAAGTAACTTTCTCAGCTCTGCAGTGTAGTTTATATTAACATAATATTACACATGTTCTGATTATTGTTTGGTTTGTACCAATTCTATTCAAAATTATTTGCTAAACATTACTAATAAATATAAAAGTATTATTAAAAACGACCGCACACTTTATTTATTTCCCTGTTAATAATAATATTTTAATTAAAAATTATTTACTTGTTTTAGATATTTAACCGGTTTTGTTTATATAAAAATAAATGTAGTACTCACTTTTGTTGTTCAAGAATACGTTTCTTATCCATTTCAATTTGTTCCCTTTGCTGTTGGGCTTTAATTTGTTTTTCCTCTCGTTTTTTGCGTCTTTCTTCACTTTGTGCCTTAAGTAATGCCTCTTTTTTCTTTATTGCTTCTGCTTCTCTCCTCATTTCCCTTTCTCTGTACTCTGCTTGGGATGCTTTAATTTGACTGGCAGTTTTTGCTGAAATTGCCAAATTATTGTTTTGGATAGAAAAACATTTAAAAATTAAAAACCTAAAATTATTAAACTTACCTGAGAGTGCACTTTCATTGGAGGATAGGCCAGACACACCTTTGGGAATTTTAGACGTAGTACATGCCTTGGGTATAATTTTCGATGTTGTTGGTGTATACATCTTGGATTTTTCCTTTACTGTTCCTAATTTTATGTTCTTATCATGTTTGCTCTTTAACAGGGAATCGCAGCTTGGTTCTGATCCAAGTTTTTCAAATGCCTTAACTTTTTTCATTACCGGACTGAGATCCAATTTGTTAAAGGTGGAATTAACATTGTTATGGTTTTTGGTGGATTTTGATTTTGGCTTTGCCTTAACTTTAATGTCCGTATCCTCATCGCTTAATAAGTCCTCCTTAGGCTTTTTCTTTCCATTTATCTAAAAAAATTATTTTAAACAAACAAACATTATCAAAAAGAGAAATTACCAACCTTAGTATCTGAATCTGCATTGGTAACATACGTAGCATTCGCATTGTATGTGGCGTTAGCATTATTGTCAGTAGCCACATAAGTGGAATTAACAGTAGCTAAAGCATCTTCATACTCGGTTTGGTTTGAAGACCGAGTACTGCTTAAAGTTGAACTTTTTTCTCTCCCTGAATTAGATCTCGACTTTTTTTTTTGCTGAGCACTTTCTCGATCTTCAGTCACATCTCGCTCCCGTTTAGTCTTCTCTGCTTTAGTCTTAGTTCTAGTTTTCCTAGTTGTGCTTTCGGCTTTGTCCGATCCTTAAGTTATTAAAAAAGGTTTATTTAAACCAAAATATTGATTCAATATTCTGGTTTTAATTTTAATACCTGAGCTTAATATTTAAAATTAAACTTTAATTACACTGGGCAAAAGCAATTTTGCTACAGAGTGGCCAACAATTATCCCTTGTTTTCAAGATAATCTAACAATATAATTTGTATATATTTTATACATTCATAAAGTTGATCGCTTAAAAATACACTTTTAAACAATATAAGATTTAAGATTAATTTAATTTGATTTAAAAAAATAAAAATAAACGCTAAATATACTGTCTGTTGGGTCTTTTTAGCAAAAAGAAGTCCACTGAAAATATCAAATTATAAAATAATAAATTAAATTGCAAAATTATAATTTTATAAGTCAAAGTGTCAAATAAAACAAAAGTTATGTTAATACAGCACCTATTATGTTCTATTATGTACGGTAGAAAAAATACATAAAATCTTACTGAATTAAAATAAAAAAGTAATTATTATATTTATCATATTATATAATTTTAATCAGCGACGGAAATTCACATTTCTTTTGATATTAGTATACGGATATTATCCGTAAAAACTTGTAAATTTTCAGACGAATTGACCTTTGCTTTTTTTGCATAACAATTCAAGTCAATTTTTCCAAAAAATTTCCAATTTTTTCGTTTTTTTTTCGGTAGCTCAATTTTTCCAGAAATTTTAAAACCCTAATTATCGGTTAAAGTATTTGATTAACTAAATATATATACGAATTTTAATATTTGCCAAAAAAAACGGTTTCTCCACAATATCGAAACAAAAAATTTTGTGTTGTATTTTTGTGTTACGCACGAGCAGTACTTCTGACAACTGTTTTAACCCAACTTTTTACCAATATGACATCTTTCATACGGTTTTAACCTTACTTTTTTCAAATTTAATTCACTAGTGCATTTAGTAACTTATTACACTAGTGTATTAAATTTAGTAGATAAAATACATACCAGTTTCTGCATTTTTAGTAATTGTTATTGTACTTCTGGATGGTTCATCATTTGCATCTTGAATTGACTTAGTACTTTCCAAATCCGATTCATCAAGTAATTCAATTACTGGAATAGTTGTATTGATTATATCTACATCGGAATCTTTTCTAACAGGTTCTTTTTTAATTTCAACCTACAAAAAAGATATACATATATATATATATATATATATATATATATATATATATTTATATAGATAAGTGGTCAGGTGTGACCTCCGTTAAGTTGAGAGGGCCACCTCTCCTCCGGGTCTGCGGAATGGACGATTTTTATTTTGATTGCATATATTGCGGGGGGGAGCCTTAATTATTAACGCCACCACAAGAGGGGAAGCAATTTTTAATTTTTTAAAATGTCAATTTTTTTACGTAAACTGGAGATACTCAAGATACAAAGTCACCTCCGAATATATATATAATTTCGGAGAAACAAACAGCCTTGTATCCTCCGACAGTGTTGCCGGATTTTCGGAGGTCGCAACGTATCTTTAGTATCTGGGATATATATCAGATTTATTTTGTCCACTGCTTCATGCTATATGTGCCATACATTATTTAGTAATAATAATAATTATTATTATTTTTGTTATAAAAGACAAAATATTATAATAATAATAATAATTTTTATAAAAATAATAAAAATGGAGTACTTTGAAATAAATAATTTATTTGATTTAAAAAGAACGTATTGGTATATGATAGGTCTTGCAGGTATAATGGCAAAAAAAATGTTTTATTACATAACCCCTGTAAAATCTTTATTTATCGTGCAATTTTTACCAGATTTGTTTTAAAGGTAAAATCTTGATAAACTGTATTTTTGAAGCAAAAACGCCATATTTTTACTAAATACAAGGCCTACTATGTCAGTTTTTAAGAGTTAATTTTTAAGAATTCATATTAGCGATTTTTTTAAACAAAATCTAAGCACGGCACTGGATTCACCACCCCTTAAAATGACCTTATACTAAATTATATTAAAAATGTAAATAGAAAAATATAGAGAAATAATAACTACAAAAATTTATTTTGTCAAGTTATACATGAAAAAAACATGGAAATAAAATTAAACTAATAGTATAACATGGTATACTTATTATAAGTTTAATTTTATTTCAATGTTTTTTTCATGGATAACGACGGAATAAATTTTTGTAGTTATTGTGCATTTTTCTACTTAAAATTTTTTAATAAAGTTTAGTAAAGGGTCGTTTTGAGGGGGTGGTGAATCCAGTGCCGTGCTTAGATTTTGTTTAAAAAAATCGCTAATATGAATTCTTAAAAAATTACTCTTAAAAACTGACATAGTAGGCCTTGCATTTTGTACAAATATTGCGTTTTTTGCTCCAAATATACAGTTTATTAAGATCTACGCCTTAAAACAAATCCGGTTAAAATCGCACAATAATTAATGATTTTACAGGGGTGAGTTGTAAAAAAATGGGTCACATTGTATATGTACTGTTTTGCTTGCAAGTAGTTTTTTAAAAACTTTTCAAACCGATTGACTTTTGAAAGAATTATTAATATTATTATTATCAATAAGTTTTGATATTTTAATATTTATTAGTAGATATTATTATTATTTTTAATATTTCAATTGTATTTTTGTATTATTTTTATTTTTTCTAATTTTTTTGTTATTTTTACTATTTTTATTATAATTATTTTTTTTTGTTAATATTTTTATTACGTAGGTATCTACTTCAATTATTTATATTCCTTTTATAATCTTCATTACTTTTATTTAAAATTTTAAAAAATTAATCTTATTGTTATTAATTTTTCTAATAATTATTATACCCAATCATTTTGAATATATTTATTAGTATACTTTTTTATTATTTTTATCAATTTTACTTTTTTAATTATTTCTTTATTTCTAATATTTTTATTTTTAATATTTTTGATATTTTTATTATTATATTAATAAAAATATAAGAAAGAAATTTAAGTAAACAATAAATAGGGATAATTAAAAAACATAAGTAAAGTAAAACATTTTTATCTATTAAAATAGTTATGAATAATGATTATTATAATTATAACTATCATAAGGGTAACTAATTAATATTTTTTTTCGTTTTTCTTAAGGTGTTGGACTTTGGCTTTAATAAGGGATACACTTATTTTTATTTACGTTTGTTCTAGAAAAGATTTAAATTCTTTGCTAGATGAATAAATATTTTTTTAATATGGTTAAGGAATTTATCCTTTATTAACCCGATTTCCATATTTGTGCAGCCTAAAAATAATAACACATTTTTAAACGAATAAAAGTGAAAAAAGATTTTGTGAGTAAAAAATATTGTTTAAACACATTTTATGTGTTAAAATCATTTTGTACTTTTTTTGTTTAAATTATTTATCTTTTTTGGTAATGAATCTAAAAGAATTATTTTACAATATCCATTTCTATAAACATAATGCATTTTTCTAATTATGTACTAAAAACTTACCTTGAAAACCGACTCTCTGGATTATTAATTAAGTCCTGGAAGATATATTTTTAACTTAAATAGTTATTTTACACTTAAGATGTTAGAACAAAAGCGAAACTGCGTAACAAATAATAAGTATTAAAGATCATCAAGTCTGAACATCTATGACTGCGCGAGATATTGCAAGGTTGCCAAATTTCGGAGGTAACAAATGTACGTATACATGACGGAGGTAACTTTGGTGTGGCTGAATCTGATTAAAAAGCGACACTAGCGCCAATTCATATATGGTGGAACTAAAAGTTCCTTTTTAAGAGACTGGGGGGTCAAAGTGACCTCCGAAATATTTTTGCACAGATTGATTACTGACACTCCCCCAATGTCAAAAATATGGTTAAACACTGTGACCTCCGAATTTGGAGGTCACAGCGTCATATATGAGGTCACAACGTATGAAGGGTCTCCGTTTTGGAGGTGACAATGTACCCTTTATCAATATATTTATATATACAGGTTGGATACTTAAGTTGGCAACATATGGGAATTTTTTTTATTATTAGTTCTGCATGTTCTAAAATCTAAAGTACAATCATCAGATATAACAAAGTTTTAGTCGTATACGCGGTTTGTCAAAAAATATTAATCTTACTCAAGTACCTTTATATTTTTTATATTTGACAATATCGAAAATTCTTATAAAAAAAAGTTGATCAGAACTAAAAACTACGTTTAAATATGCAATTACTTCCATTCACATGGAAATAGTTATTTTCCTAACAAGTGCGCAAAGTTACATTTTTCCGCTCGCTACTGCAATTGCACGAACGACGCGAATCGGAGTTCGGGCAAGCAGTAAGTGCGGAAAAAATTGCGCATGTGTTAGGAACAATATTTTTTCTACTAGCGTGCGCAAAGTTAGATAACAATGATTGTAATCATTACATAAATTTTTATTAATGTTTATTACAAAGGAACAACTATTAATATCCAAGTCGCTTAACATTGGAAATTCCTTCCCCAGAATCGGCTAATATGGTAGCAGAGGATCTACGAAAACTATGACCTGTGTACTCCTCAGGATTTTTAAGTTTTAGATATGCAGGCATTTTACCAAATGTATTAATTCCTACACATTGGGTATACCCACTATAGTGCATGCTCTTCTTTTATAATTGACAAAAACCAGATTGTGCGGGGTATTGGGTTTTCGCAAATTTGAATATTTTCGAAACAGTTGTAAGTAATGACCATTATTAATTTCATCAGATATCACAAAGATTCTTGATGTGTAATGTTTACTGTCCGAAATTTTCACGATTACCAAATTTTTTTTATCTTCTATATCATCAATCATCAAAATTAAATTTTTCATGTAAAAGGATGTAATTACATATTAAAACATAGTTTTTCATTCGGAACAACTCATATATGATTGAAAAAATTTGTTATTTGATGATTTTATTTAAGATTTTAGAAAATGCCGAACTTTTTATAAAGAATAACTTTGTAAAATTATAATTATAAGAAAGTTATAATAATAATAATAAGAAAGTTTCCAATGTGTTGTCAACTTAAGTAGACACATTATAAATAATTATTGTCATCCAAATTTAGATCAAAATTTTTACTGTAGTATAGACAGAATTAATTGCTAAATATTACTTTTAATATTTACCTTGGTTTTGTTTACTTTACTTCTGGTAGTACGCGCAGGCCTTTCCGGAACTTCAGCTTTGACTTTCTTTTTTCTTGGAGGCAATTGTGTTGGTGCTGGCATTTGGTCTTTTTCCTTCTTAATTTGTATGGATTCTTCATCATTGGTTGATTTATCCAAAGGTTCACGCGTTTCTGTTATGTCAGAAATTTTTTGCTTTTTTACAGGCTTTGTGTTAAACAAATTTTCCTGCTTAATTTCTGAGGAGCGTAATTGACGTGAACGTCTACCGCTTTCAGTCTCATTTGTATTTTTTGTTTCATCACATTCTGGCTCTTCATTTTCTTTAACTATTAAACAAATTATAGCAGTCCTATTTAGTTTTTAAAAACAAATTAGTAAATCTGGTAGGTTCCAGTGAACAGGGTTGGCATGAATTAATTCAAACTTTTACTTCTAACTTAATTGCATCAGGAAAGAAGTAAAAAATGATACTTTATCCTTTAATTTATATAATTTTGATTAACATTTAATCTTAAGTGTCCTGTTACAATTTAATACCATTTTTAGAAAATTTGGCTAACCAAAAAGTGCTTAGTTTTGGGAATTTTAAATATTGGGAAAGAGATTTTCTGTTTTCTTCTTAATTTAAATATGTGTTATAAAATTAAATTAAATTGAATTTTGCAGTTGCATAGTAAAATAATTATGACGAAATTATTTAAAAGTACGACAATAATTGTTCAAATAGTTTTTTTTATTTAACTTATCAACTCATGACTGTATATTTTAACCCAATAAAAGAAATATTATTAGTTTTAATTTATTTTAAATTAGAAAAAGTGAATTAATTTAAAAAGTCTGACTTTTTATAAAAAGTAATACTTTTTCCAACCCTGCTATTATCTTAAACCTTAAACTAAAAATTGTAAATATTTAACTTACTACTTTCATATAACTCGCCTAAAGGTACGTATTTACGTTTTCCAATTTGAGATTTGACATGCTGACAATCCCTAAAGAATTTCTAAAAACAAAAAACATTTATACGTTTCTTTAAAAAATAAATTAATATCATTAGAGAATTTCAAGTTCCTATATATTCTTTTTGTTTTTTAGATGCTTTTTGAAGTTTATAATTTTATTTTAGAACTAGCAAAAACATACCACCCTAATATGATATTTTAACTTATTTAATTGGTCATATAACCTTCATCATAGAATTTAATAAATTAATTGTAATGAATTTTTTAAAATTTATTTAAAATCCTAGTTATTTGTGCTACAAAGTCGTTTAAATAAGCAATTTGTGGCATTTTTCACTGATTGAAATGGTGAAAACAGAAGAGTATTGGAAATATTCACAAAACTTGAATATACACTAAACTTGAATATAAATTTAATAAAAATAATTTTATAATAATTAATAAGCACTTAAACTTCCCTATAGTTGTTAACATAAAGTTCATATTAATGGATTATTTTTAATTTAAGGTTTTTTCTCTCAAAATACCTATAGGTATGAGCTTGCTCAAAAGATTTCCATAAAATATATACCTACTATAACAACCAATTTATAAGCTATTACATAATATATGGGAAATGTGTGGAAATAAGACTCCTGCTGCAGGAGTCCTGCACAAAATTCTTTCAAAAATTCGTTTCCAAACTTGAGCAACATAAAAGGATCATGTTGATGGCTTAGATCATAGAGCCTACACAAGGAGTCCGAACTTAATAGGGAAAATTATTGACAAAACCTGCCCACTAAATTGCACAAATTGCCAATTTAAGAAACACAAATATATGACAGGTTTAAACCTTCATTTTGCTGTTATAACAACAAATTTGTTAATTAAAAAACTTTTTATTTTTACTACATTGGCACTGCTGAATTTGCTATCACAGGCTGTGATAAATAAATAAAAGTAGGCTGTGATTCACAGCCTACTGTTATTTATTTATCAAACTATTCAAAGAGAGATACAACAAGGTATTGTTTAAAATGTGACCAAAAATTATAAATAAGTAATTAACAGTATCAACCTATTCAGGCTAAATAATCCAGCTTATATGCAAAGCTCATAATTATTATAAAAACAATATATGCTAATAAATAACGAGTATTAATACATCTTGTTTCATATACATCAAGTTTTGGTATACCTATTTGGAAATATTATTAGGTACTTAAGTTAAAACTTTTATCAAAAATTGTATGTTTACACCCAGTTTACACTCGGTTTACACTCTTGTACAAAATGATCAAAACAGTATTAAAAAAACAATATTATAAATATTATATAAATCCATTTTAATTTCTTCTGAGATATTGGCCAAAAATGTGTAGAGCAGAGTCCCACAAATATGTAAACACTATTAAAAGGGGATGTTGCTCCTGTTGGGTTCTCTCTGTTCGGTTTTTTCTTAAAATGCTGTGCCAAATTAAAAGACTTTACCAAAATTAGTAAGAATAGGTACTAGTCTCTTAAAATGTTAAAATGGATTGATCGGTTTTTGCATGTTTACTCCACTCATCAATATTTTGTATCTGTATGATACATATGGTTTAAAAGAGGCGTAGATATACAAAGGCCATAAAATTATACTGAATTTTGCTACATAAAGAAATCTCTTTCAAATATATTCATCCAAAAAAACGGCATATTTTATAACCTCTTCTTCCTGAAATCGAAACCTATGTGAAAAATTATTTAACATACCTCCAATTCGTTTGCAAGTTTATTGCCAGGATCCGTTTCAAGTTCAGTAAAAGATATTTGATTTAATTCTTCTAAATAAGTAAAAAAGTTTGCCATTTTCGCAAGAACAGCAAATGCACAGAACACAAATACAAACGTTAAAATTTTGAAACAGATGCAAACATTGCAAACAGTGTTGCCAATTAATATTACCAACCACAGATTATAAAAGTTTTATAATAAAACTTACCAACAATAGAAAAATATAAGCAAGTAGCCAACGCCATCTATTAAAAAAAACTAAACTAATCCTTCATTTAGTTCAGCCTAACTTCAATAGATGGCGCATTTGGAAGGTAGGCAATCAATTTACAAACATAGTTTATAGGAGTTGCCTTCCTAAAAAATTTTTTACTAGAGGCCACAATCCACACATGTGGATTGTGCTAGAGGATAAATTTAGCAAAGTATTCATCAAGGTTATGACAATTATCTGTCATCTTGGTAACCTTCTTTGTATCTGATCTTGGTTATGCAGGTACACTGCATTGTGCCATACCAAACCAACCCAAACTTAACAACCCAACCCAAGAGACCCCGCCCCATTGAGCAATAGAGGTGTAATATATCTAAGGGCAGGCTGGATTGTGACAATTTTGCTTAAAATCACCTAATATATATCCGTATGGATAAGCCAAGTTTTGGAATGCACCTCCTCAAATAGGAGTTGCGAAATGCGAATATTCGTATTTCGCATTCGCATCTATATGAAACCGACTTTAGACTACTTTCTTATAGTAAGTTTAAATAAAATAACAATATTTATTTTACAACTTTTAATAATACAAAAATATAGGTAACAATGTAAATCACAATTTAATTAAAAGGTAGGTAAAATTTAATTTATAGTCTTCTCTATTATATCTGAATTGACATTAACTGTATATTTTTCATGAAAATCCTTTAATATATCCCAAAAAACCAAACACAAAACAGTGTGCGGTCCTAACCTCAAATACATGGGCCCCACTCCTTTATAAAAGGCACTTATCCCCTCAGATCGATAAATTTTTGATACACAATCCATATAACTTATGTACAGTTTTCCTTTGCCATTTTCACCAATTGCTTAAATAAAAAAAAACGTTTAATGAAAATACCTATGTAAAAAAAATAAACAATGTTTTATTATTGCAATTCATTGGGTAATTTTTTTTAAGAATTACTTACGTTGGTTATATAATCTAGTTAAAATTAGATCAAAGGGGGTCATCATCACACTGATAGCAACTCCGCCCACCATACTTCCCAAAAAGGATTTCAAAAGAGGTCTTCCGCTAAAATATTCGTAATTGTCTAAATAGGCTTTTGCGTAGTCGAAGGACAGTAATTGAGAAGTTGAACCAACGAATGCTCTTGGTATTGAAGCTCCTGCACCTCTAAATAATCCTTTTACCTAAAAATGGGAAAAGCAGTGCGCTATAAGTAAAACATGGTACAAGAAATTATGTGTATTGTGGAGTAAAACATCTCAAAAATCGTGTTTTCAAATCGAGGAAAAAAATTATATTAAAGCCATCTAGCGGTTTAACAAAGCAATTTTGAATATATAAGTCGCCTAGTTCCAAAATCCATTTAATCCACTTTTATTAAAAATCGAACTTGGTATGTCATCTACATGCAGAAGGTCTAAATTACATTTTTAGATGATAAATAAGTTTTAAAACCCGCTTAATCCTGGTTTAAATCACTGTAGGAATCCAAGGTTAGATTCAAAATCCCCTAAATCCATATGTACAGGGCCGGATTAAGAGTTTTGAGGCCCTGGGGCCGACATTTGGTGGAGGCCCTCAATATTTTTAAAAAATTGACACTTTAAAACTCATGGTAAATTTCTAAGCTAGAGGAACTTTACGTGATTTTTTATTATCCTTAAATCATTTAATATTTAATAAACCATATAAATTTTTAATAAAATCGGCCAAAGCGTTTTTAAGCTATAAATAAAAAACTAATTTTTTTTAAACGAAAAACCCTGTATCTCGATAATAAAGCATTTTCAGACACGTGTTTATAGGAACTTTTTTCATATATTGATGAGAGGAATTTCCCCTGAGCTTTTGTCACCACAAGTCTGAATCACCCTGTATATTTTGAATAATACGAACATAACCATATACATTTTACCCAAGTCTGAGAAATTATTAATTCGTATGCAAAACTATAAAAACGTAGATAGTAGAATAGAATTGTGAATGAAAGTGTTTTTATATACCTACTTTATATTTTATATATTTTGAATAATACGAACAATACTCAAGTAAAATATAAATTGATCTATGTTTTGTTTGTATTTTTAATCTTACCGCAAACTAAAAAAAAGTGCATCAAAAGTCGTATTATTTGTCTGTTTTTCATACAAAATCATTAATAATAAAACAATGTTTTGTCCAAAGAAAAGCACGAAACATTATTTCGGAAACACCGGAAAATATTCCACAACACTCCAATGTACCAATAAAAATCTGGGACAAAAACTTTAATATTAGATTATAAGTAATTGACTGTTTGCCTGTATTTACAAAAACGTTACGAAAAGCACTAAAGGAGCAATTGTTTTGAGTCATTACATCCTGATTTGCGAACGGATAAGCGATAAAAAATCCGCGAAAAATTAGAGTTAGATCTACGAAAAATTAATTGAAAATTACAGAATTCGCGCGGTATAACCGACCCAATTTTTTGTTTTTTCGCTAATTTTTTTCATATTCGTTTCATTAAAAAGCTACATATTGCATTGGTGGGGGCCCCTAAATGGTGGGGGCCCTGGGGCCGTGGCCCCGCTGGCCCTGTCCTAAATCCGGCCCTGCATATGTATCACTTAAGTGATATTCAAACATCGCTAAATCCATTGAATAACAAAAACTTACTAACTAAATTCAAATGAAATTAAACATGTACACAGAAAATCATAAACAAAACCCACTAAATCTAGGTAATTGGATTCATTATGGCGCTTTTTGGAAATGACTGGCAAAAAAAAGATGAACACGAAAATCTTTTGTATTGTAACATTGCAGTCATGACATTGCAATGAAGCAGTAGAAAATGAAAATAGTCACGTTGGAGAGGCGGAAGGACTCTGCGAGAGATGTGACTTTCAGGAATGCGTTTTCTACAAAATTTATTTTTTAGCAATAAAATTGTCTTTACGCTAATAAACTCTAGACTTCCGAAAGCACACTCTTTTAAAATGAATCAGTGGAATTTTACTGATTCGACCAGCAAGTAGAAAGTTCTCTGCGCAGATTTAAATTTAAGGTTTTTTACTGAATGAACCAGTTGATCTTATATATTTCACTATAGTACCATATATGGTAATGCATTAATATTTACTGATTCAATCAGCGAAATTCAGATTTTACTGTACAACCTGTGGAATCCACAGGAAAATTAGTGAAATTCCACTGATTCAATTTAAAAGAGCATGTAAATTTTAAACCAAAATCCACTAAAACCAAAGCAATTTTCTAAAACAGCTAAATCCTACAAGTTTCTTAAGTTTTCCAAAAAAAAATTAAAGTGGAATTTTTCCACTTAAGCTTTCTGTTTATTATGCTTCTGCTTTTTTACTGAATGAACCAGTTGATCTTATATATTTCACTATAGTACCATATATGGTAATGCATTAATATTTACTGATTCAATCAGCGAAATTCAGATTTTACTGTACAACCTGTGGAATCCACAGGAAAATTAGTGAAATTCCACTGATTCAATTTAAAAGAGCATGTAAATTTTAAACCAAAATCCACTAAAACCAAAGCAATTTTCTAAAACAGCTAAATCCTACAAGTTTCTTAAGTTTTCCAAAAAAAAATTAAAGTGGAATTTTTCCACTTAAGCTTTCTGTTTATTATGCTTCTGCCTATTAATTTTTATGTTAAAAAATCTAGTAACCTTATTTCATGACCAGCAGCAAACATTCGCGTTTCCTCAATAAAATGTTAAGGTGGATTTAGAAGGTTTTGGAACTAGGCGATATAACTATTTTACTTAAGTAACATACAAAGGTATTTTAAAACAAGAAATTTATGATAGGTAGTTATAATATAACTGTCATATAAAAACCATGGTTCAAATTAAAGTGGTACAATCAGAGATAAAGAAGGTTACAATATTTAATTCACTGAAGTTTATCGACAAATTTCAATTTTTATTAAAAAAATTCAAGAATTACAGGTTTTATACCATTTATAATTTTTTTAATTTTAATAAAAGAAATAATAAAAATTATATAATTTATATAAATAGTATAAAACCTGTAATTCTTGAATTTTTTAAATAAAATTTGAAATTTGTCGATAAACTTCAGTGAAATAAATATTGTACCACTTTAATTTGAATTATCTTAATTTTGAGGGGCAGGAGGCTGGGGGTTGCACTTAAAAACTAACTTTTTTTCGCAAACTTTAATTTAAATTCTGCTTGCGCAGAACTTGTCTATATAATGTCATTATAAACTAATATAAATTTGATGTGGGTCCCATGTCTAATAACTGAGATATGGGTGTGCCCAAAATCCACCAGCCGCCACTATATTAAAAACAATAGGTCGTAGCAATTTTGTAAAGCTAAATATATACATATACATATAATTTAACTAGTTAAAGTACTTTTTAGTGGTAAAATCATTATTCTATATTTTTACACAAAAAGTATAAAATATAAATTAAGTAACATTTATTTCCACAATTTATGTATTATTTAGTTTTAAAACATTGGGTTTGTTCCTATCAAGCCTTTCAACTGCGCATGCGATTTTTGTATTGCGCATGTCCCTGGCGTTCACTTGACAGTAAAGATACTCGTTGGAACAAGCCAAATGTTTATAGGTATTTATCCATTTAAAAAACTTAATATTTTGAAAATAATTAAAATATCTTACCCCGTTTTTTCTGTAAATATTCGATAAAGCTCCAAATAATCCAGTGTGTTCGTGTTGATGTCCTACTGCAATTGCCGCTACCGCTTTGGATTGTAAGTGAGTTTTTATTAAGAACAAGGGACTGGCTAAGAATTGTCCTAATACCCCCCCCGATTCCGCCAAAAAGAACTTGTTTGTAAAACACTTTTTGGCCATTTTTGTCTTGCATGTAGCCTCTTGACTCAGCAAATTGAAAAGTACCTAAGATAATTAAAAGTTTAAATTTTAGTAAAAATTTAATGCCATTTCATTTCAATGCATTTTTATAGTGACCCAATAAAAATGTCAACAAAAACCGCGAGATAAACTTGCTCAGCCGGCATATAAACCCACTGAGCAAAATAACATTGCTGCAATGTTGACGCAATATTGCTTTGTAATCTGTAATGTTGCATCAAACCGTAAAGCAATATTGCTGCAATGTTGTAGCAACCCTAATTCTTCCTTGCAGCAATATTGCAATGCAAGGTACGAATGATGCATAAATGTTGTTGATGCAATGTTGCCGCAATATTACCATCGAAAAGTACGTGAACGGTTAAATTGCAATATTGTATCAATATAGCTTTTAAATCCATGTAGCAATATGTATAAATGTTGTTGATGCAATGTTGCCGCAATATTACCGTCGAAAAGTACGTGAACGGTTAAATTGCAATATTGTATCAATATAGCTTTTAAATCCATGTAGCAATATTACCTTAAAATATTAAAGGGAGGTTAAGAAGCAATATTTAAACAAATCTGAAATTTTCATTTTTTTATTAAAACAAAATAAAAACATAATAAAAAAATAAAATATCACAATTATCTCAGTTCAATGAAAAAGAAAATAAACATTATAAAAAAATTAAATATCAAAATTATCAGTGTTATAATTATATCCTAATAATTAATATTAATTGAATCGATCAGAATAAGAACAGTACAAGTCCAAAAATTTTATTTTCACAACTCAATTTTTAAAATCAATTTAAAAGTTCAAAATGCATTTTTGTGAGAATATTTCAAATATTTTATAAAATATAATAATCAAATTTTGTAAAATGGTTTATATCTTCTCACAAAAATAAAATTTTTGGACTTGTACTGTTCTTATTCTCACCGATTCAATTATTAACAAAAGTTCTCCAGAAATGGGAAACTTTTTTATTATTAATTTTAGAAAAAAAGTTACGTCTTAATAAAAAGTTCTTTCTGAAAAAATAATATTAAATAGACTATTAAAACTTAAAATAGCTATTTTCCTAGGATGTACAGGGTGTCATAAAGTAAGAACATTTATAATTGGCCCAAGTAAGTTCCCTTAATTTTTATTTTAGAAAAATGAAATAAGAAAATGTTGCTTAGAATTAAAAGTTATATCCAAGTTTTAATCGCCTCCTGTTAAAAAATTCTTGTAATTATAAAATAAATAATTACATTACATTTAAATATCGAACTTGGGCTTACAAACATGATATCATTTCTATTACACACTTTTTTTGTTAAGGTTAAGCATCTGTTCTGCAGTATTTTATTAATTTTAGAAATATCAATAATTTTTTAACAGGAGGCTATGGATTTAAACTTATTTCATTTTGCTCCAATAAAAATTAAGGGTACTTCTCTCTTGTGCCAATTATAAATTTTCCTACTTTATGATTTCATGTTATTTTATGTTTTAATAGTCTAATAGCAGAACGTTTTATAAAGTAACTTTTTTTTGTAAAATTAATAACAAAAAAGTTTTCCATTTGTAGAACAAAATAAAATTTACATATATACGAAAAAAAATAACATAACAATCAAAAATTTTGACACAATGCTGTCTCTTAAAAAAAACGCGGTACAAATTGGTAAACGCACAATCCACACAACAAGGTCTGTTCTTAAAATACTAAAAATTACTGCACAGACTTTAACGGCGGCCATTTTTGTTCTTTGGGCTTGTGCTGTTTATACAGATTACACTGTGCGACAAATTTTGACCTTACAATTTGAACTGGGATGAAATGTGGAAAAATCGAATCTATGCAACCCCCAAAACTAATCTTTAAAGGGGTTTTGCTAGTTTAGCTCGAATAAGGGAGATATACAGGGTGTTTCTTTTAACTTGAGACAGCTCAATATCTCGAGAAATACGCATTTCACGGAAAAATGTCTTAAATAAAAGGTTAATGTGACCAAAGGGGACATTATTTGGTGCTACCGCTAGCCACCCCCTACCCCTCCTTAAGGGTGAAACGGGGAGTAACTTTGGAAAGTCAAATGGAATGACCCGATTTTTTTCACAGAGTTTGGTAGTACATAAAAAAATTAATAACTTTTATTTGAAAGTTTTTTTCAATTTATCAACAGATGGCGCTGTAATTCAAAATTTAAGAAAAAGGGGTTTCCTTGTAAAATGGAAATGGAATGACGACATTTCGAACATTTGTTATAAATTGTTTTCATAGCCGACTATTGTTGTTAATGTTAATTTTTGTTTTTCAAACGTTTCAAATAATACATTTTACAAGGAAACTCATTTTTCTTAAATTTTGAATTACAGCGCCATCTGTTGATAAATTGAAAAAAGTTTTAAATAAAAGTTATTTATTTTTTTATGTACTACCAAACTCTGTGAAAAAAATCGGGTCATTCCATTTGACTTTCCAAAGTTACCCCCCGTTTCACCCTTAAGGAGGGGTAGGGGGTGGCTAGCGGTAGCACCAAATAATGTCCCCTTTAGTAGTATTTCTAGTATTTCTCGAGATATTGAGATATTGAGCTGTCTATTGTTAAGTTAAAAGAAACACCCTGTATATCTCCATTATTAGAGCTAAACTGGTAAAACCCCTTAAAGGATTTGTTTTGGGGGTTGCCTAGATTCGATTTTTTCAGATTTTATCCCAGTTCATTTTTTGTGTTGCACAGTGTTATTAATCGTTTTAAACGTTGTTTCTTACAGAGGCACTTGTAAGCCTTTAAAAAGGCCTTAAAGTGCTAAGAAAAACCATTTTAGCTTATGTAAAGAATAAACCTTATTCTATCAGAGCTGTCATCAAACTGTCAAATGTCAATTTTAAGGTTAATTTGTGAGTTATGGTAAATTAACCTTAAAATTGACATTTGACAGCCCTGATACAATAAGGTTTATTTTTTACAAAAGAGGAGTAATATGGTTTTTCTTAGAACTTTAAGGCTTCTTTTAAGGCTTACAAGTGCCTCTGTAAGAAACACAACGTTTAAAACAATTATTAATCTGTATAAACAGCACAAACCCAAAGAACAAAAATGGCCGCCGTTAAAGTCTGTGAAGTAATTTTAAGTATTTTAAGTACAAGATAGCCACTGCTTATGAGTGTTAAAATATACACATAAAACAAAATTTAATATATTACCTTGAATTGTTTCAATTATTGCTGTATAAATGTCGCACTGGAATATATATTCCAGTGCGACATTTCCTTTATGCCCTTTCCAGCTGAGAAAATGACCTAAACTATTAGCAAAAACTATTTTTAATATATTCTTAGTGAAACTCGACACGTCCTCACCACCGATACGCTGCACAAAAATGGTCTGAAATATAACAAAAATTGAATTGCCTTAAATTCTTTACAATTGTTTTCTACTTACAAATTAATTGTTGTTTAAATTCGTGTATTTCCTTCAAACTAAAAGTTTACATAGAAACAATACCACTGTTTATAGAACCTCTAAAATCAATGGTGATAAGCATCATAAGCAATGATATAAATAAAACTCACCTGTTGCACGCCTTTAAAACTATGTACTTTGAAATACCTAATGGCTGCCCACAGCACAACACAAAAAAGAATAGCCTTATGTTCTGACCAGCGTCTCTCCTCACAGTAAACCTGTACTCTATGCAGTGCATAGATAAAAGACTTGATGCAGTGCTCGGATATTCGAAACCGAGCCGACCATATAACAAATATGGAGCCGACTTCCTTACTCTGTGACAGAGCATAGAAAAAGTGTATAGAGTCTCTGTCTTGCCTATCTGCATGCTCGCGCCGTCAGTGGGCGGGGCGTATGCTCTACGGGTTTAGGACCTAAACTTTTCGAATCTGTTGGAGTAATCATGCAGTAATGTTGCTTCTTCAATGATGCAGCAATGTACCGAAAATGATATGGCAGTAATTGTGCGCGAGCAAAGTTGCAGGAACATTTCATTAGAAACATTACATCCACGATACACACACATATTAGACTGAGCCGAAAAAATTAACTATTTTTCTTTTTCGCAATTTTTGTTTTTTTTTTACTGAGCAGGTTTTTGTCTCATAACTCCCAAACCATCGAGATAAATGGAATTGACCTTGAGATATTTCTTAAAGAAAATTAAATTTTAATCAGGCCTTTTTTGTAGAGAATTTATTTTTTTTAAGAAATATGTCAGGGTTATGAGTTATGAGACAAAAACCTGCTCAGTAAAAAAAATCAAAAATTGCCGATTTTTAATCACCCTACTGTACAGTAGGGTGATATTGCAATATTGATTTCGCAATAATTTTTCACCTTAAAATTGAGGGAATATTTCATTTTAAATTTTATCTAAATATTATCTTTTTCAAACCTGTTGACAATAACTGTGCAGCAATATTGCTTTGAAAATATTGTCTCAATGTTAGTATTGTAACATTGGTACAACATTATTCACAGTAATGTTTATATGCAATGTTACATTAAGCTTGCCCAAATGTTACATTACAACATTTCAAAACCCTTACAGAAGCAATATTGCCCTAAGCTTGTGTAATGTTGCATGCTCAGTGGGAATATAAACCTAAATAATCTGAAATTACCTAATCTTAGACCATTCATGACCAATTGAACCCAAAGGGCCGGGCTGAGTCCTTTTTGCAATGCCAGTATCCCGTCATTTTTGGCCACCGTGTATCCCGCGTGCACCACATTTCGATAATGCACAGCGTGTTGACCTTTTGCCCGTAGCTCGCCTTGCAGTTGCATTCGCGTTTTTAGCACTTCAAGGGGGTTCGTAAAAAAACCGGCACACACTGCGGCCGAACCGCCTATTAAAAATTCCATTTTGATTTTAAAAACAATACTTTTTTAATTTTATTTAAAAACACTACACATTTTTTATTTATTTTTCTTATCGGATGAGATTTAGATAGGTAAACTCATTATTAAAATTAAGTAGGTAGGTAAACTGCACATTATTTAGAATACAAATTTAAGATGCACTTTGTTACAAAATCTTTGTAGCAGAATTAAGACATGATTTTAAAAACAAAGCATCCGTTACATTGTTTCGTATTTCTTATCGCTATTTCAACCAATAAATAATTAAATATAAATTTAAAAATAGTTTTTTTCCTTTGACCTCCTTATGTGTATTAATCATTAACAAAAATAAAGTAGAACGTAATACAATTTCATTACCCTTTAAATTTTGTATTTAAAATTAATAACAAGATAATTCTTCATCGTAAATAATTATAAATATTAATTAAGAGTCTTAATTTAAGACCTTATAATTTGCCGTATTCATATTTATATGGCAGAATCTACAACTTTTTATGTCAATTGTATTTAAATATATGACCTTAAAATCACATGTTTTAATATGCCACGCTGCCTATTATTTAATATTGAAAAAATAAATGTGTTTAAAAATGATAAGCCTTGTTCACAAACGACAAATATTTAAAAAAAACAATAGGAACTACATATTAACTAACAATTTCTATAATAAAAATTAGACTTCTCGACATTTAGCAATATTTTCATGCACAATTTGGCAATGAGGCAATTAAAAAGTGGCCAACTTCACTTGTATTATTATTATAGGTTAAGTGACAGCTGTCACTTTCACAAAATAAAATAATTCAGTTAACATTTTTGAAGATTTTTATGTTTAAAGGCAAGCAAAAGAAAGCAACAAAACCAAACTTTCAACAAACCACACACATACTTATGCAGATAAAAAATACTTATAAAATGGATTTTGGCTTATAAGACCATATTAAATTGTTAATATTGTTAATTAATACCTAAACTATATGTGTTAAAGTATTAAAAATGGAACCCAAAACACAATTACGAAAATTAAACATAATGTATCAACGGGAACTAGAACACATTTTAGATCCCTACGAGCTTTGGAAGAAGTTAATGTGTGTCATACCAAAAACATTATGCCCTGATCCAACAAAAGCAAACGTATCCAGGATAAATCCACCAAAATACAACACAGAACACTTTAGGTAAGTAATTTTAAAATATCATTTAAAAAAAAAGTATATGAAAAAAACAAGAAAAAACTTAAAATATAATTTACCTAATCTTATACCGTTCATGAAAAACTGTAAATAAAGAGCAGCCGAAAGGCCATTTTGCAAGGCCCATAGTCCATCGTTTCGAGCGATAACATAACCGGCGTGTGCAAAGTTCTTGTAATATACAGGGTGCTCTCCTTTATATTTCAATTCACCCTGTAGTTGCATTCTAATTTTCACGACATCCAGAGGATTTGTTATGCAACCCGCACACACTGCCGCTACACCGGCCACAATAAACTCCATGCTGATGCATTTTTTGAATTTTGTTTCATTGAGTTTTCAAACTGACGCTGATTTTGGGTGTGTGATCACTTATGCAACTGGTTTATAAATAAGTAGATTTTTGGACATGTCCCAGGTTATTAAACTAAATCTTGTTGGTTTCAAATTATCTATGTTTAGGTATACTTTTTTATAACTTACATTATACATATGATGTATATTTTTCTTTAGTATTAGATAGCAAGTAAAATTATAATTGTAAATACCTGAGTAGGTAGGTACTAGGTATGTTATTATGTAAAAATCATATAAAAATAAAATTATCAAAATATTTGTCAATAATTGTCAATTGTCAACATATTTAAAACAGAAATACCAATAAAGCTTAATTTTCATGTATCCGTTTGTCCGTTCATCCGGGAGCGCTCTTATTGGTCCAATTATAATTCGAAAATTATGACATTTTATCGGTCCGTCAAGTTTCAACTTCGTACGTCTGACAGAGAAAGGTTAAATAATTTTAACTCTTCCGTCACTACACATCTGTTTTTGACGCCTAACGTTATTTTAAGATAATTTATTTTCAAATATTTTTATATTTTTTCAATAAGATTGTAAAACGGAAATATTACGTTCGTTATGTGAATAATGTTTTACTGTTAAGTTTTTATTTAATAAGAATAACAGAAAAAAAGAAAGGACAAACTTAAAAAAATTAAAACTAGAACTAAAAGGACCTGCTTTTTTAAAACTATACATTTTAATGTCTATAAGGGCTAGTATATTCTTTTTATAAGGTATATTTACCTACCTTTAAATTTATTAGACAGCTAACTGTTAAAGTTACAATTGTTGACATAATTGTAACTATGACCATTAAGCATTAGGTAAATTTAGTAAGTGAATATACTTACACTTAATTTCTTTTTGTCGCAAAATCAATCCGTTAAACGTCATTAAAAAACGCAAGCATGAAAATTAGAACATTTCTTATCGGACGATTTTATTGAAAAACTGACATACGGATGACGGAAAATTAAACTTTAATGCGGGACTTAAGTTCGATCCCGACTGACGTCATAATTTAACGATTTCATGTATATAATTTGTATAATAAAAGTTGAACAAACCAACCAACTCAACACTTTTTAACAAAAGAATTTTCATTTAATTACATATGTACATAATATGTACTACATATATTATATTGCAATATATGCAACGTTGTATTATTTCGTTATGTATACATTTATAAAAATGTTGTGAAGGCGCCTAGTATCGAACACCGGTCCTCTCGCATACTAAGCTAGCGCCTACCATCTGAGCTACCCAGCCTAATATCAATAATTGATAATAATAATAATTATTATATAACGCTCGGGGAATAATACCGATTTGAAGTGTGTGACTTCAAATTATGACGTCAGTCAGGATCGAACTCGGGACATAACATGTTCCTTGATCTTCTTAGTATATGAAGTGTCTCAAAAATGATGCACAAGGAATTTATTTTAAGTATAAAAAATTAGAAATATTATAGTGTATTTTTGTTTAAGAATAATCGAAAACGTGTCAAACAAAACGGGCCGATCATGCACGAACATCCTGTTCGAGGAATGGGGCACGTCAGGCCGAGTGTTGCCTACCCTGGGCCACTTGTTGCATCTACTAGTAAACGCCGAACTTTACCGAGCGGCCGACTATCTTTCGGATATAATCGGTTGCCAGAAACCGAACCGGCCTCAAAGTGGACCGGCAGCTTACGTATCCACTGATATAAGCGATTTTAATAAGATTGACAATAGCAAGGATGGTATTTCCCTCAGTGAAAATAATACGGATATGAAAAGTGAAGTTGTTTATGGGACAAAAAGTGAATTGATTCCGGAATTGAATATGCTTTTGCAGCAAAGTACTATTGATAATGTAACCTTGGAGTCAACTCAAGATTCAAATACTTCTTTCAATAACAATGCAACTCAAAATACAACAAATTCTTCCAATAATAACTCCGAAAATGAATTATCACAACTAGGCATTCCCAATTTAAGTATATTAAGACATTCCGCAGAACAATTAACTAATACTTCAGAAGAAATGTCAGATAATTGTCCAAACCTCTCTATTTTCAACAAACAAGATTCTTCCAGCCCGGCAATTTCACTACCGAACTTATCAGTATTCCAGAAGAAAGAGAAATCGTTATCATCGCCATCCTTAAGCTTTAACAAGTGTCCTTCTCCTCTTCCAAATTTATCTTTGAACACATCACTACCCCACTTTTCTTACCCTGAATTGGAAGATGCCACGAATGATTTTCACGACGAACCATTTTCTGCTGAAGATAACGAAGGGAGATTATTAGGCAAAGGCGCCTTTGGTTCGGTTTATTACGCTCTAGACCTACTAGATCGACCTGTAGCTGTCAAAAGATTAATCCTAGACGACTTTGACAGTGCTAACATGACCATAATCACAAAGCAATTCTGCAAAGAGGTCGAAAGCCTCGGACGCTTCAAACATGACAATCTGTTAACTTTGCTGGGCTTCTCTTGCGACGGTCCCACTTATTGTTTAGTCTATGAATATATCTCCGGTGGTTCCCTGAAAGACAGACTGCGATCGAAAGAAAACAGACTCATTTGGACTGATAGGTTGTATATTGCTTTTGGAACAGCCAAGGCGGCTGCCTATCTTCATACTGTTTTCAATGTTATACACCGGGATATCAAGAGTGCCAACATTTTGTTAGATCCTAATAACAAACCAAAGTTGGGCGATTTTGGTTTGATCAGAAATATTAACCAGAATACGATTACTTTCACGCAACCTATCGGTACTTCTTCGTATATGCCAACGGAAGCTTTTCGGTAAGTACTACAATAATAAGAATGTGGGAGTTTTGGCATTGAGAAATAGGGGAGAGCCATATTCATTTTTTATTTATTTCGAAACTTTTAAGTTGGGCTATTTTTAAACAAATTCGTAAACTAAAATGTTCATTTTTATTTAAAGATTGAGATCAATAGTAAAATATTCATGGGGAAGAAAGTTTATCGGGTGCCGTTTTATTTTTTATTCAGGAATAGAGACCAAAGTTTGACACGACATTTAAATTTTTAACAAATAATAAAAATGACTGATTGTCCTTTATTACTTGATATTGTATATACGGCTTTTTGGCTTAATAAATAGTACTAAAAATTCACTAAAACAAAAATAAACTCACTGACATTTTTATTTTAGGGGTGAAATATCTCACAAATGGGACACTTACAGTTTTGGTAAAGTCTTGCTGGAACTTCTAACAGCGTTGCCAGTTTTCGACCAAGAACGTTCGGAAGCCGATTTGGTAAACATTTTTAAACCGCAGAAAACATTTATTATATCATCACATTGCCTTTTAGGGAGATTATGTGGAGGAAGAATTTGATAAGGGCGCCGAAAAATGTGCGGGCAAATTGTTGGATAAAACTGCGGGGTCGTGGTCCGTAAACAATTTCAGTTTTGCCGAGGATTTGTTTAAGATTGCCCTGAAGTGTTTGGAGGATAAAAAGAAGAGGCCTTCGATGGTTGAAGTGACAGAGTCCCTAAGTGATCTTTTAGAAAAAGTTTAAATTAGTGAGTAGGGTCTTCCTTTAAGTTAATTTTTGGCTTTATATATTTATATTAAACGCATATTTTGTTTATTGTTGTGTGGATTTGTAAATCGTTTGAATTTATTAAAGATTTTATTATTTGTATTTGCCTATTTTTCATACAAAGTAAGATAGTTACCTAAAACCTACATAGATAAATCAAATTTATTTAAGAAACAGTTCAATAAAGAATTATTAATATTATAATACAAAGAACATTTCACTTTAATTAGATTAAAAAAATACTCGAAAATTATAAAAAATGATACCTACATCATTTACAAGTTTAACCAGAGGAATGATTTAAAACTCAGGAGATTGAATTCCCAATATTATTTAATTTAGCCTAATTAAAAACTTTTATAAAAAAACCAACTTGACTAGTATGCTTCATTATTATAATAGTCAATTAAATTGTCAATTAAAGGGGTAAGAAGCAAAATGGTACAAGTTCAAAAAAAGGAGTTATTAACAAAAGTTTTTACTATATACAAAAATCTGCATACTTGTTTCAATGTTTGCATTAATGCAGAATCGTACAGATTTCAAGTTATGAGGAAATTTAAAAAAATGGACTCTAAACTATCCAATTCTGCAGTTAACTTATTTTCACACTAAAATGCACTTGTACCCTTTAACTTCTCAACCCTTTAATTATAAACATTTGCCCTTGGTCTTAGGTTGAATGAATGTTTGTTGATTGGCAATTAAAATGGAAACCTTTTATTTTATCAATTAATTAGCCTAAATGCGCAATGTTTTTTAAACAATCAATAAAGTTCTAATAAAATAAATAATCACAAAAATGATTTTTAACTTAAAAATAAAAAAATAATATAAACTGCGTTCCATATAATAAAACCACAGATTATAAAACTGTCAATTGACATAAGTTGTTTGTCATTTTTAAGAGAAACAACAAAACTTAAAATTCATGTTTGCTTTTCTGATATACACAATTAATCCTATTGGTTTATAAAATCCATCGCGAGCAGTGTCATGTCTTTTACAAGGTCCAAAAGACATGCACTTTCTTCAGCCGTATCGGGGGTATGTATACTGTACATGTGATGTGGAATAAGAAAAAAGATTTTTGGGGTTTTATATTGATGCAATGTAAAATATATTTTGACAGTCGGAGCTCAAAGCTAAGGGTGCTTGATGCACTACTGCATCTCCGAGCTCCGTAGCCGCGTCTCAGAAAACAACTTTTTGTGATTCCATATCAAATATTTTTTGACTAACATACTAAGGAAATTTTTTTAAAGAAACCAAGTACAAGTTCATTTTTCCAAGCTTTGGGCTTTACTTTCGGAAAAACCATTGGACAAGGAACTTACAGCAAAGTGTGTACAGTTACCAATGAAGCAGGAAAAGTTTTGGCGTGCAAGATTATAAATAAAAAATGTGCTGGGATTGAGTTTATCGACAAATTTTTGCCTAGAGAATTAGGGTACCAACACAATATAATTTACGATTATTTTTAATTATACGGTGTTTTAGTATCATTTGCTCAATAAAACATCCAAATATAGTTACGGTACACAAAGTACTAGAAGTAAATAGTATAATTTACATGTTTATGGATTTTTGCAAAAACGGGGATTTACTCGAATTTATACGATTAAAAGGAGCGCTTTCGGAAGATAAAGCAAAATGGATTTTTAGGTGAGATTTTTGTAATTAAATAATATTAGTCTGTTTTTTAACTATTAATATTTAAATGTTTTCCTTTCCAATGTAAAATTATCAAGAAACCTTTTTTTAAGACAAATAGTAGACGCAGTTCAATATCTTCACAACTTGGACGTGGCTCACAGAGATTTAAAATGCGAAAACGTCTTTTTAATGGGTGATAACAGGGTGAAACTAGGCGATTTTGGTTTTGCGAGGCATTGCAAAAATCACTACGGCGAAAAAATTAAATCCAGTACTTTCTGCGGATCAGCGGCTTACGCTGCACCGGAAATTTTACAGGTACCAAAATAATTTAAAAATATCTTTATTGAGTCGACGTTTTAGGGGGTGTTGTATGAGCCTAAGAAGTACGATATTTGGTCGCTAGGCTGTATATTGTACATCATGTTGGCTGCTTCGATGCCTTTTGACGATGCCAACATTAAAAAAATGGTGAAGGCACAATTAACCGGCATTATAAATGATGCCATTGCCAAATGGCCCAAGCAATCAGATGCTGTCAAGGTATTAATAAGGTAGGGTTAAACGATATACAACATATGGCAAAACACGTATGACGCCACCTTGTGAAACAACTAAAATGTATAACTTTTTTTATGTTTGTATTTGACAATTATGGAAAAAAAATTAGTTTATTATTCATATCCCCACTTTGTAAAATGTAAAGAAAAAATTAGTTTTTTTTATAGTTGTCTTCTTGAACCTGATAGTACTCAAAGAGTCACAATTGAAGATGTTGCGGATTGCGCATGGTTGGAAGAAGAGGTTTCAAAGAGACAAAAAGTGTTGTCAAAAATATTTTAATTTTAAAAATTCCTTAACAATTATTTCTCTAATATAATGTACCTATATTAAATATATTGAAAAATCTCAATATTTCGAATTGTCAGATCATTTTTTAGATTTAAGCGGAAGTTTTGACATCGTTGATTTCAAAGGTTTCCTCAGTGCCTGAAGAACTTAGGGGTGAACCCAACGGTTTTGAGGAAAAACCATCTTTGCACATGTGCGCGATTTCCGACGGATCTCTGCCTCTTGTTTCGGGTAGATACCATCTAAAAAATAACGTTATATATAAAACAATATTGGTATATATATTTTAAAAGTTGCCTAATGCCAATTGTATGTTTTTGAACACACTGTTTGGTCTGTCATGATATAAACAAACTTGTATTTACCTGGTGAAAGCAAAAATAAGGACGACAATCGTGGCAAAAATAAAGAAAGAAGCGGCTCCAATTTCCGCCTGCATTGTAGGAAATAACAGACCGACGAAAAAGTTGCCTCCCCAGTTGGCCATGCTTCCCAAGGCCATCGCGGCAGGTCGTGGTCCAACTTCGAACAATTCCGAGCCGACAAAGTATGGGATGGGGCCCAACGCAATCCCGTAACATACCACAAAACCCAACACTCCTAATATACTAATGTAAGGCATCCAATGATAGGAATCCTAAAGTAAGATTTTTATAATTTTTATGTATGTATGTACTAGATATTTTCTGGTATTATTCTTTTTTAAATTTTACATTTATTTAAAAGTAAAAATAAATGTGTCTGGCACTAAAGCTATAATAAAGTGTTTTATTAACTTACTATATAACTAATTGCATATCCCAATAGCACCAAGAAGAAGGCAGTGGATGTAAGACTTATTTGCAATAAGAATCTTCTATTAAAAGTTGACATGGAAAATATTGAAAGAATAGCCATAAATAAATTACAGCATCCTGCTCCTATAGTAGCCAATTCGCTGCTTTCTCTGCTAAGGCCTGCGTGCGCGAAAATTGTCGAAGAATAATAGAAAACCTAAAAAAAAATACAAAAAATGTGATGTGGATGGATCTATTTGGTTGTTGTGACACGAATTGATAGCAAGTCCCTCTGTTTTTTTCTACCTCCTTTCCGACCCAAAATAGCTTTTTCTCAATATTGTATTTGTATTAAAAATATTGAAAAATCGCATTCTCAATTTATAAGAGTTCTTGCAGTGTACAGGAACACAAGATTGTATAAACTATTTTACTTACAGCGTTTATTCCGCTAAACTGTTGGCCAGCTTGTAATGTAACAGTTAAAAGCAAAGGCAATAACAACGTTTTGCTTTTTAAAACTTTTCCTATTGTCCATGTATCCCCTACTTCGGCATTGTCTTGATCTTCCAATCTGAGTTCTCTTATTTCGTCTTCTAGAGATTCTTCTTTTGCGTTTCTTATTTTACATAATTCTGCAAAATGTATTTTAATTAAATCGTTTTTTTTATTTATGTTAATTGTTACCTAATAAAGCTTGTTGATGTTGTTTCTTTATAACGAAAATGTACTTGGGACTTTCTGGAAGAAATGGTAAGGCAGTAGAGCATAGTAAAGGTATTAAGTAGAATCCCAATAAATTGGGCCATGAACTTTCGTTTCCTGAAATAAATTTATAACAATTTAAAAACTATTTTAGTTTTTATGGATATATTATTAGATTCGCAGTTTTCATCAAAATACTAGCGTCTTGTTAAATAATATAAAACACTGGAAGAGATAAACTAAAGGCATATTTTTTGTTAGTAATTTTACTGGATCTGTATAGTATTTTTATATTAGTCTAAAATTTAATGTAATTGCAACTAGCTACAAACCCAATATTTTGTACATGGACATAACTTGTCCCACCAGCACCCCACAAGTGACGCCTAAAGGACATAAAACGCCAGTAGCGCCCCTTAAATGTAAGGGAGCTAATTCAGTCAAGTACATTGGCATAACACTAGTAATTAAGCCTAAAAAATACATGCATAATTTTTATAAAATCAACTTAAAAACAATATTTTACCCGAAGACAGTCCAACAAGTAATCTTCCCAAAATGATACTTTCGACCGAGTTGGCAGTTTTGCTAATCAAAAATAATAAACCCCCTATTACGGCTAATACGGAGCTTAGGTTTAAGGCACCTTTGCGGCCGACTTTATCGGCCAATAGCGACCCCCCCAGGGAGCCTACGGCGCCCCCCACTAAGAATATAGAAACAATGGAAGACCACAATAGGTTTAAAGAACCTACACTTAAAATTTGATTGTATCTTTCATGAATGCTTTCATTGCAGAAGGATTTTATGATCTAGAAAAAATATTTAGTTTTTGAAATTAGTAGCTACTAGGTTAGTAAATATGAAAAAAGTAAGTTGTTAAGAAATTTTTACTAGCTCTAAGGATTTTAGGACCATATGTGCAGTGCACCAAGTATACTTTTATTTGTGTATATTATGGATATTTTTTTATTTAAGGATCTACAAGGTCGGTTATATAATCTATGGGCAGAAAGTATCCTTTGTGTATATTATGAAATTTTTTTTATTTGAAGAGCTACAAGGTCTGTTATATCAAAGACTAATGAAATAAAACTTGAAATTTGAAAAATATAAAAAAAAAATAAAATACATTTTAAAACTTAAAATTCGACCATTCCAAGCCCATGGACAGGACACATCAGAAACATGTCTAAATATATTCTTGTTACTTCCTTAAGTTTACTTATTTTTTCTACGATAATTTATGAGAAGTATTAGAAAAATTTGGCTAATACTTCTCATAAATACTCGAAGAAAAAATAAGTAAACTTAAGGAAGTAACAAGAATATATTTAGACATGTTTCTGATGTGTCCTGTCCATGGGCTTGGAATGGCCGAATTGTTAAAACTACATATTCATCTAACTTCTCCGCTACTATATTTTGAGTTACCATGTTCATCTATTGTTTTTATAATTGAGGAGCGATCAGACAAAACGAGACAAATATTTAATTTAATGATTTGCAGAAACAAGTCAAAAATAAAAGAATTCTTTTGCTTTTGACTTATTTCTAAAAATCATTAAAATGGATTTGTCTCGTTTTGTCTGATCGCTCCTCAATTGTGCCATAACTTATGTAGTTTGACACATTGGATTTCTTGATTTTTTTATCTAACCATGTAAAATTCCAATATGGCGGCCATTGGAAAAACAAAAGATGGTGGTGATAACTTAAAATCTGGCAAAGGCAAAAAAGTACAAATATGATGAAAATGTAGATAAATGTGTATGTTTACCTGTAAAACTTACTTTTTCAAAATTACCAGAAATAACGGTTTTTAGTTTTAACAAGTTTTCAATTTTTTTTAATTATTGCTGATTTTTTTCCAATTTTCAAATGCCATTTTTGTAACTACGGAACTTTTTTTTCCAATTTACCCGACCTTAGCTCTTTAAATAAAAAATATACCCATATATACCCGTATAGTTTAAATTAACAGAATCACCTAATAAACAATTTTCTACAAGCTATCTCTAAAATGATTCTATTATCCTTAGAAAGCTAATAAAAACTACGCAGGGTGCCCAAAAAATATTTTAACGAAATACTATAGATTCCTTGGCTTAAATTAATCGGGTTGACCCGTCCTTATTACGGCTTGCCGTTAATTAATTTGTAATTAATGTACCGAAACCAGTCATTATGTAACTAGGTTTATACTTTTCAACGTTCCTACTTTCAGTTTGGTCATTAAAAAAATATTAAGAACAAATAGTTTGCGAGTTATTCTCATTTACGCCCGCGCGCAGAATTGTGCTCAAACCTGGCCATTGATTTTGCCCTTTAACTTTTAATGCTTTGACTATTAGGTTTAAATTTAATATTAAAAAACGCCCGAGCAATGTTAATCCATACAGTATTATCGATCGGGTGCCAAATACGTATACGGAATGTTTTAATGCAGCTGGCACAGAAGGTATATAAATATAATTAATAGATTGTTAGGAAAACATCCCTTTAGTAGCTAAACAAAGCAACTTTGGATATAAATATTATGTCAGTTGGGTAAATCAACTTATTTTTAAAGATGAAATCTATAGTAATGTATTTTTCAGACTCCCTGTATGTTTTAAATTAAATGTGTTTTCTTGAACATGGGTAATTCTTTTACAAACCGTACGGATTTTGATAAAAATTGACCGACACATCTCCGATTTGGCTGAAACTTTTTTTACGGATTCTATATCGAAAAATAAGAGACACGTGTCCGAGGATTTTTTTTTCTTTCGCATATTTTCGATAATACAAGTGATCAAAAATTTGAGAAAAACAAGGTTTTTGGCTTGGAGACCCATTTTCAAAAATTTATAACTCCGGTTCTATTTGAGCTACAAACATCTTTTTTTTTTAATTTTAAAGCTAAAGGACTGAATTTTGATAACAAAATATTTTTAATAAAAATTATTAACTAATTCATATTGTTATTAACAATTTCATTTTTTAAATCAATTTTTAACAATGGCCCCCACCTCGTATTAAGTTTTTAGTATTTTTATCGCATTCCCCGTCAAATTTTACATAAAAAACATGTTTTCAAAATATGGTACCTTTATTATTACTATTGTTAAAACATTAATTCATATTGCGCGACACATAAAAAAAAACGGTTTTTTGTTAATAAAAAGAAAACTATAGCTCGGATCAAAAAAAGTTAAATATAAAAGTTGTAGATAATAAATAGATCTACAATTTTTGTTTTAACTATTTTTCGACATAACCTCACTTTTCAAATAAATTGAAAAAAATTTTAAAAATCACCTCTTTTAAATTTATTAGCAATCAATACCATGAAAAAAAACATAAATTAATTATAAATTATAGAAAAATATTTTAAAAGAGGTGATTTTTAACATTTTTTTCAATTTATTTGAAAAGTGAGGTCATGTCGAAAAATTGTTAAAATAAATATTGTAGATCTTTTTATTATCTACAACTTTTATATTTAATTTTTTTTGATCCGAGCTATAGTTTTCTTTTTATTAACAAAAAACCGTTTTTTTATGTGTCGCGCAATATGAATAAATGTTTTAACAATAGTATTAATAAAGGTACCATATTTTGAAAACTTGTTTTTTATGTAAAATTTGACGGAGAATATGAAAAAAATACAAAAAACTTAATACGAGGTGGGGGCCATTGTTAAAAAATGATTTAAACAATGAAATTGTTAATAACAATATGATATTGTTAATAATATTTATTAAATATATTTTTTTATCAAAATTCAGTCCTTTAGCTTTAAAATGAAAAAAAAAAGAAGTTTGTATCTCCAATAGAACCAGAGTTATAAATTTTTGAAAATGAGTCTCCAAGCCAAAAAACTCGTTATTCTCAAATTTTCGATAGCTTGTATTATCGAAAATATGCGAGAGAGAAAAAATTCCTCGGACACGTATCTCTTATTTTTCGACATAGAATTCGTAAAAAAAGTTTCAGCCAAATCTGAGATGTGTCGGTCAAAAGGTGTTCGGTTTGTAAAAGAATTACCCACATATGATCAATAAGCCAATCACAATAAATTTATAAAAAGAATTTTATATTTAAAGATAGTATTTATAAATTTAATATTTTTTGATTAAACTAAATGAACGTAATCAGTTTCATGAATTTATCTAAAATGAATGTTAAATTATGTACTTTAACACACTCATCAAAATATAAATCACTGCCCCTAAATCCTTAAAAAGTGAAGAATTTACTAAAATAATCAGATACAGGCGGCTCTTAATTTGTTTCTGTTAAATATTTAACTACAAGTATGCATATAAATATATATACAGGGTGTCCCAGAACTCGCGCCACATAGAAAACCGGAACGTGCCGAAAGTAACGTGAAACACATATTTGAAAATTAAAATTGTCTAACGCAAAGGATAAGCGAGATAAGAATAAAAAACGATAGCCAATCCCAATAGATGGCCATAGGGAATTCTTTAAATTGCTAGGATACTTAGGTTGCATTGTTGATAATAAAAAATATGTAAAATATTTGGTCCACTGGAATCCAATTCATTGTGACACTGCTGTCAAACTCCTGTCATTAATATTATATTAGGTTATAAATTAAGTTATTATAAATAATGTTTTTTTTCAAGCGGCCATGATATACAGTTGTATTCAATAAAAAAGCGTACAAGAATAGAGTAATTGCATCAAAAATGAAAATCCCTAAAAACCTTTTTATTGTAATCTAGAGGTAAAAACACATTGCGAAAATATTTTTTTATATTCCAAAAGTTCAACCCGGCCCCAAAATATCAAATTGAAAAAAAGGTACTTTTCAAACGTTCCGAACTCCCGCCATATTGCATGACGTCATAAGCTTCACCAGCTGTCAGAAATCAAGATGTCAACAAATAATAAACACCGATAAGTTTATGTTTATACATGGAAAACGTGAAACCAAAAATTGGTTGTAAATATTGTTTTGTGCCTTGTACAAATACAACCTGGAAAACTCCTGGGAAAAGGTTTATCACCGTGCCAAAAGGGAAAATAAGGATAAAGTGGATTAAAATAGCTCGGCGCGATATCAAAACATCGTCACCATTTTATTGCTCATTTTAAGGATCATTTTAATGTAAGTAAAATAAAATGTCGTTTACTAGGTATATGGTTTGAATAGGTATGTTAAATATTAATAAATTCAAGAAAATACGGCTGAGCCGTAACTACTCTCAGTGTAGGGTCATAAACTTTGCTTTTGATAATTGAAGGGACAACTTTCCCAGGAGTTTTCCAGGTTGTATTTGTACAACAAGGCACAAAACAATATTTACAACCAATTTTTGGTTTCGCGTTTTCCATGTATAAACATAAACTTATCGGTGTTTATTATTTGTTGACATCTTGATTTCTGACAGCTGGTGAAGCTTATGACGTCATGCAATATGGCGGGAGTTCGGAACGTTTGAAAAGTACCTTTTTTTCAATTTGATATTTTGGGGCCGGGTTGAACTTTTGGAATATAAAAAAATATTTTCGCAATGTGTTTTTACCTCTAGATTACAATAAAAAGGTTTTTAGAGATTTTCATTTTTGATGCAATTACTCTATTAGAATGAGAGAAAACTGTCAAAATAATATTATTGCTTAAAACCGGCTTATCACTGACATAAGTCATTAAAATAATTACTATAGGTTATAAAGAGCATTGACGTCGTAGGTTAATTAAATAATATTACAAAAATTATTAATTTTTAATAAAGATTTTTTATTTCTATTATACCATGGTACGAATTGACCATTCTTCTTCGATTCTTGATACTATTTGAGCCTTTTCAACTGACGAGGCATTTTTATTTTCTACTGTCAGTTATAGTGACTTAAGTCAGTGGAAAGCCGGTTTTACGCAATAATGTTGACAGTTTTCTCTCATTCTAATTCTTGTACGCTTTTTTAATGAATACAACTGTACAACCTTATATGCCTGTATAGAGATAGTTGAAGTGCGTCTTTTTTCATTTGCGGCAGACAAAAAACTCAAAAAAGCCTAGGGATAGAAGTAAATCCATAGGTGTCCCAATATACGTCAAATAATAAAATTAATTTAGCATTTCATACAAAGCAATCACGATGTATTAATTATATTAATTATAATCGCACGGAATATTTAGGGATTATTTATTAAATTTTAATTGAACGAAATAAAGAACAACTAGTTTATTAGTATAATATTATGATGATAGACGAGTCGCCAATGTCGGAACTCCAAACAAATGTCAGTACGTCAAAATTAATTCAAGCGCAGCATTTTGACAGAGCAGGGTTTATTTTTAGTTTAGGCTTTGTTATCTATGGTTTAGGATATTTATCGGCATTGTAAGTAAGGGTTATAAGTTTTTTTAGTTTTTATCAATAATTTCTAATGCTTTTAGCCAAAATTTTATACCACATGAGTTATGAGTAGATAAAATAATTCTATTTCTTATCCTATTTATATTACGCCCTTGAAAAAAAAATTGTATATGTTATTTGGAGTAGAAGCTCTTTTTGTGCTTCGTACAGTTGCCAGCCTCAGCTACGCTTCGGCCGTCAATCTCTGCACTCACCACAAAAAGAGTCACTTCTACTCCTTATGACATAATCTACTATTTCCTTAGATCATTATACTGAAATGATAATTATTTATTTATTTAGTGTGAGCGCAACGCCAGGGAGACAACGCGAGTTTTTTCCCAGCCCTTTCCTAATCGTTATTTTAAAACATTGGCGTTCTGAAGTATAAGTCATAGATTAATAACCTCATTTTTGAAAGCTTTTGACAACTTAGTAAATACAGTTGGCCAAAAGATTTTTAAATGTTTTTAATACAACAATGGTCTATCGTCTCCTAGCAACTTTTAAAGCATTTACGTTTAACCTAGGCGAGAGCTCTCGGTATTGGCTGCCGCTTTTTTGCTCTCATTCGATTACACTATTACCTAGAAATTTTTTATTTTTAAATTTGGCATCTCCATTGCTATCGGCACGCCCCCTTTTTCTCTGTGGCGCGAGTTCTGGGACACCCTGTATATATATATACAGGGTGTTTCTTTTAACTTGAGACAGCTCAATATCTCGAGAAATACGCATTTCACGGAAAAATGTCTTAAATAAAAGGTTAATGTGACCAAAGGGGACATTATTTGGTGCTACCGCTAGCCACCCCCTACCCCTCCTTAAGGGTGAAACGGGGGGTAACTTTGGAAAGTCAAATGGAATGACCCGATTTTTTTCACAGAGTTTGGTAGTACATAAAAAAATGAATAACTTTTAATTGAAAATTTTTTTCAATTTATCAACAGATGGCGCTGTAATTCAAAATTTAAGAAAAAGGGGTTTCCTTGTAAAATGTATTATTTGAAACGTTTGAAAAACAAAAATTAACATTAAATCAACAATAGTCGGCTCTAAAAACAATTTATAACAAATGTTCGAAATGTCGTCCTTCCATTTCGACACCAAGTGGAGCACCAGCGTCCCTGGTCGGTAAACGTTTGGTGCGGTACCTTAAGCGAACGATTAATCGGACCCTTCTTTATTGACGGTGCAAATGGCGAAAAGTACCGGAATTTTCTAGAAAACGATCTGACGGACCTTTTGGAGGATGTACCACTAGCACGGCTCCAAAACATGTGGTACCAGCAAGATGGTTGTCCTGCACATTATTCGACAATTGCTCGAGAGGTGTTGGATCGGGAGTTCAATGGCCGGTGCACCGCGGTGGATCGGTAGACGTGGTCCAGTAATTTGGCCTGCTCGATCACCTGATCTTACGCCACCAGACTTCTTCCAGTGGGGTTACTTGAAAGAAAAAGTTTACGCTGCAATTCCTACAACTTGGGAGGACATGGTGAAGCGGATCAGGAACGCCTGTGCGGCGATACCGCCCGACATGTTGGCGCGTTGTGTGCCAGAATTCATTACCCGCATTCAAAAATGTGTTGAAATGGAATGACGACATTTCGAACATTTGTTATAAATTGTTTTCATAGCCGACTATTGTTGTTAATGTTAATTTTTGTTTTTCAAATGTTTCAAATAATACATTTTACAAGGAAACTCATTTTTCTTAAATTTTGAATTACAGCGCCATCTGTTGATAAATTGAAAAAAGTTTTAAATAAAAGTTATTTATTTTTTTATGTACTACCAAACTCTGTGAAAAAAATCGGGTCATTCCATTTGACTTTCCAAAGTTACCCCCCGTTCCACCCTTAAGGAGGGGTAGGGGGTGGCTAGCGGTAGCACCAAATAATGTCCCCTTTAGTTACATTAACCTTTTATTTAAGGCATTTTTCCGTGAAATGCGTATTTCTCGAGATATTGAGCTGTCTCAAGTTAAAAGAAACACCCTGTATATATATATATATATATATATATATTGGTACTTTTTAAAGTCCAAAAATAATATATACCATCAATAAAACACCACCCCTAATTGATAGGAAATTTTTTTAATAATAAGCAAAAAATAAAGATGAAGTTTAAAAATTAGTAATGATATTTAGACAAAAAGTCATATACTTACATCAGCTGGGGTATTTACCACTCCTATATGAAATCCTACACAAAGAGAACAACCTAAAGTAGTCGAAGCACCAGCTAATACCAAAATTTTTGTCCATCCTGGCCTTTTTACAGAAAGTTCCTTTAAAAAATTAAAAATTTAAACATTCCTTTTTAGTTCAAGTATAAATTTTACCATTCTTATTTAAGGTTTTATAATTAAAATTGATTAACCTAATTACCTTTTCAGCTGCCATACTAAATCAAACTAAATTATTTATTAGCAACATTTGCGTTTTTAAATAAAATTTAATTAATTATTATCAGTTTTAATTATAAATTTAATTAAGAATTTTAAAAGTAAATTTATTTTTGTATTTATTTAACTCTTAATGCGTCAATATAACTGAAAATAATAACATAAATACCAAAGGAAAATAGAAATTTATTTAAAATTTCTTATATTTTATTAAATGGCCTGGTAGATACTGAGTCAGTACTAGTGACTAGAATTACAAATCACAATTGTAAAACAATTTATGCAGTATAAATGCATACAAAATTAATAAATTATTTGTTTCAGTCTTAATTAATATTTTTTGTTGATTAACACATCGAAAACAACGCAAACATCATTCAATATCGGCAAAACAGAACCAAATGCAAAAATCCACCAAAACCAACCGCATTGCCAACTGTCCAAAATAAAATAGCACAGCAAAACGCACGATGATGCATGGCCACCTACAGCTAGGGAATGTTAAGGAGTTTATTGGGAAAAAATAATCAAAATGTATTCACACGATGGCAGCCTTTTAAGTGATTTAATTTTAAAAACCTCTATACTATTTATTAAATAAAAATAATAATAGACTTATTTTATGTGAATTCATTTTAAATAATATTTTTTGTTTTATAAATACAAACAATAAAAAAGGATACATAGCAAGGCAGATGTACTGTTAAACATTGTAAGTCCAATCAAAAAGGCAAATAATTCAAAGCATATCATGGTTATTGCTACGCTAAGTCCAGTCACCAATCTGTAAATATTATTTAAATATAACACCAATACCTACATTAATAAAGTAAATAATTAAAAATTAACATTATAAATAAATTAGTAATTTCAAGTACTATTAAGGCTAATAGTCTTACAACCGTCAGACGCCTGCGCAATAGGCACAGAACATAGGCAATAGGCTTTGGGTTGGGTTGCCTTTTATATTTCGGGAATGGCCGAACCTGCTGATGCTATCGGACAACAGATGTCTGTATCGTTAAGTTCGACCGTGAACATTTTCGTGCTATAATTTTTTCAACTTTAACGTGGATTATCCCAACAATAATGCATCGATGAACTTAATTTGACTTTTGGCGACAAAGTGCCATAAAAAACAAGTGAATATCGGTGGTGTTCCGAATTTAATCGTGGCCGTGGTTCGCTCACCGACGAATTTCGTGAAGGTCGTCCAAAATCACTCTATCTTGCAAAAAACATTGATGCTGTGCGTGAACTGGTAATGCAAGATCATCATGTGACATATCGTGAGATTGGGTCATCCTTGGGCATAAGTGGGACCAGTGTACATTCAATATTAAATGAACATTTGGCCTTCAGAAAAAAATGTTACCGTTGGATCCCACATAATTTGAGAATCGAAAAAAAAGGTCTCGGGTCTAGTGGTCAAAAGAAATGCTTAAAAATACAATGGCGGTGCTTCAAAACATATTCATGACATTGTAACAGGTGACGAATCATGGATCTATGCGTATGATCCTGAAAGTAAACAGCAGTCGACTGTGTGGGTCTTTAGAAGCGGTTGATGCGTTCAAAATGCATGTTTTGGAGGTGCCTCAATCGGAGTGAAAAAATGCTTCGAAAATTGGTTCAAGTGCATGCAAAAGTGTGTCGATCTTCATGGAGAATATTTTTAAAAACAATAAAGCCATGTACGATGATTAATTGTTGCTTGTTTTGTCTATTCCCGAAATATAAAAGGCAACCCTCGTACGGTATTTAAACTTACAGTTTGATAAACAAAACATTTTTTTTTACTTTGATCAATATTTCTGAAGAACATAAGTGATAAAACTTGTGAACTTTGCAGAAACAAACCAAATAAATGACTATTCCGAAAAAAGAAAAGCAATTTTACAATTATCCGATCTTTTTTGATCAAAATTAACTTTTTTTAGCTTAAGTATACCAATAATATACTATTTACATTGGGATAATTTATGCGCTGTTTGTATAGATAGGCTGGAAACCTATAACCAACCTAATTATAATTTATAATGTAAAACAAATACTTATCATGCATTAGCAAATATATGCACTTACTGTGTATGGTGACTGTTGTATGCTTGGTCTGTTATCATTTCCGGCAAACAGGACTTCACGCTCTCCCTGCTGTTCCATAGTAAAGTAACGCAAATTGTAAAATGTGCTATCAAAATTAAAAATCGTGCTGGGATTAAGCCGGCAGTATTATACATGTCACACAACTGAAAAAAGTAAAATAAAATAAATAAATAAAAAGGAATTTAAATTCTTATGAAAAAAAATATGCAAATAATTAAAGTAGGTAAATTACACTAATTAAAATTATAATCTGTGAATAATTGTAAACCATAGTAACACAATATTATAGGACCTATAATATAGGTATTATGCTTCACACCCAAAAATCCCACCTTGATATTTGAATATACAGGGTGTCTCAAAAGTCAAGGACAGCAGAAAAGGGGCGGATAGTGGATGGGATTTTAAGTCAAATAGTCTTTGCGATTTTCGATCAGACGCACCATTAATTAGTTATTAATAAAATAAAGTAGCCAATCACAGGCGTGTTTTAGCAGAATGATTAGAGGTGGCAGAACTATAATGTGCATCTTAATTTTAGATAGTTTTAATGTAAATAAGTTAATCTGTTCTTGATTCCATTAGATTTATTTGCTTATGATTTTTTACTTAATTTAACCCAGTTTTTTCGCAATTTTACACTGTTTCTTTCGGAAAAAAAATTACGTGATATTTTCCGAGAACACCTTGGGTGAGGTTTGTCTCGACCCCCTTCCCCCCTAAACACCTCCCGTAATTAATGGATGCCCCCAAAGCGCGAGGCATTTCAAAAAGTTTTTTTTAACAAACATGACATTATTACCTATTCATTAAAATATCTGTAATTAAATAATAATGTTTAAATCACAGGTCTGTGGTTTAAATTAATTATTTTTAATATTAATAAAATATTTATTTTTACTTTTTTTAAAAAAGCAAAGTAAAGTATATCACCATCAACCATTAACTTATTTATTAATTCGCAAAATGGGGTACACAAAAAATTTCGTAAAAATTTTTTTTTTAGATTGTTTTTTTCGGTTTCTAAATTATTTGAAAATTGACTCACAAGTTCACGCTTTTAATCGAAAATAATTATTCTGAGCCTGTAGAGCGAGAAAAAGGATGGTGCAATTTTGGAAAACTTCATATGCTCATTTTTTGCCCCCCCCCCCCGCTGCCTTGTTTTGCCTCCTTTCACCTCCTGCCTCCTACCATAAAATAAAAAAAAAAACAGAAAATTTGATGTTATCAAACTTTGACCTCGAATAACTCTAGAAGAAATCAATTTATCGAAAAATAATAAGAGAGCTTTTTTGTAGAGCGTTACATTTTATATAAGAAACTGCAATGAGCATTGCCATAAGTTACTTTGATACAGAGGTATAAAATTCCAAACATAAAATTATTTTTTCCCATGTTAATTAAATGGGAAACTAAAATAAAAACAGAGACATCTTAGAGTTGAGCTGAGACGCCCATTTTATTTTTGAAGCACCCTAATATATATATAATTGAGGTTATCTATCTGACAGTTTAACGCTAATTACGTGACGTAATTATGTATTTTTTTGTAAATATTTAAAGGTAAAAATTTAGAATGTTCTCAAAAAACATATTGAATTAATTAAAGGTCCAAATTTAGAACAAAAAACATTGAATTAATTTTAGAAAATAAGACGTAATTTACCTCTTATTTTCTAAAATTAATTCAATATATTTTTGTTCTAAATTTGGACCTATAATTAATTCAATATATGTTTTTTGAGAATTTTCCAAATTTTTACCTTTACATATTTACAAAAAAATACATACCTAAATTGGATTATTTTTCTTAAATCAGACAAAATTAGAGTTAAACAGAGATACATAACCTTAATTATTTTTATTCAAATGGTGTCAGGCAAAGATAAATCTTTGGCGTCAGGGACTTAATACCCAAATAATATTAGATGCACAACTCTGTATTTGCAGGATAAGTGATTTAAAAAAAATGCAAAAATTGTTTAGAGGTGCTTTTGCATTATTTCTTATTCAAGAAAGTAAAAAATATTCCTTTAAAATTAAGTAGTTTAGTAAATAATTGTAATCAAAAGATTTAAAAACATAGTTTTGCATCGTTCAAAGACCAAGTTTTGCAAGTGAAAAGGGCAAATACCAAAAAATAACAATTAATCAGGTGATTGTTATAACATTTCATTGTTATGTCATCACGTAATGCGTATACTAGCGACGTGATTGGTCTACAGCAAGTTTGCATCCAACAGGAAGAAACAAATACCCAGTATTGCATCTGCGATAAGTTTATAAATGTATTTTATTCTACAAATATTAACTTATGCATCTGGTTTACTGAGGTATGCTGTGGGCAGTGCAGTGTACATAAATAGGATAAAATATATATATTTTTTAAAAATTTGCAAAAACCGAGTTTTGCATCTAATGTACTCATATATTACTTCCACCATAGATTAATAACCTCTCCACCACTTTAACCTTTTGTATCATAGACAAGGGATTGGTTGGGTGGGCGGGGGGTTTGTTTTGTATTCTGTCATCGGAGAAGTCAAAAGTTTTAATAATTTTTGTAGTTCACATTAAAATGGGTTTAGAATTACATAGAAAATTTTTAAAATAAAGAATATTTTACCTTTATTCTGAAATGGTATGAAATTATTTATCCTGTTCATTTAACATTATAAATATACATACATTTATTTGACTTAACCTTCCAGCCTTTAATTACGTTTTAAACTATATCTATGTGCATGCAATAGTTGCACCTACATTATTTATGATTTTAAAAGGACCACCTACTTGTATAACAAACATTTCTAATCAAAATTGCAGCTTTTTTTAAGGATTGGTAAAATACCTTCTTGACTTGAATACTACCTATACTTTTTAACTTCTTTAAAAAAAATATAAATCATTGTTTTAGCAATAAAATAATTATTATATTAGTTAACTAATGTAATTACCTTCAAGTTTTACTGAATCATTGTCGCAAAATATTCAAACAAATACAAAGGTTAAACACAAACAAACAGCTTTTGAGACGTGAAGTTATCCACATAATGCAACAAAAGGTTAATGACTTTAAAATTGCAATAATTATTTTAAAACAGATTTATGAATACTGGTGCATTTGGAATGCAAATTAAGTACTGATCAGAGATAACATTGAGGTTAATGCCCCAAATGTCAAAGTATTGAAGAATTTTTCATATTTTTTCTGCTTGTAATCTCAGTTTTCTATAAATAGGCGCAAGATGATGTAGTGTCATCTATCCGTACTAAGTTTAATTAGATTTTTAAATACAAATAATATTATTAATATTAATTTAAATAAATTTATTATTAAATGTATTATTCTGTTGTGCTAAAATAAGTTGTAAACATAGATATCTATGGTTGTAAAGTAATTTAAACTTCAAAATAGAGCATTAATATTTTTCTTTGGTAAGTTTTGGTAAGCTGTTGGCAAATCTGTATTTTGACAAAATTAAACGCGACATTTGAAATGACGTACAAAAATACTTTCCTTTTCAATATTTTAACGATTTTTGTGGTTGTTATTTGTAAAAATAAAGCTGTTTAATTAAATTTATGGTCAGAAGATTATATATTTTACAAGAAGCAGTGGTTGAGAAAAACTAAAATCGCACAAAATGGAGCAAAACATGTCTGTTATTTCAATGGTTTGCAGAATTTGCTATGATAATGATAAAGAGGAACCTTTAATAGCGCCCTGCAAGTGTAAGGTATGGTAGTTATACTCTTATATTTATACAAATAAAATTGTATTGTATCAATGTAGTCCTTTTAGGGCACTGTGGCTTTTGTACACCGTTCTTGCTTGGAAACCTGGCTAGCAGAAGCAAACGCCTCGACCTGCGAGTTATGCCATCAACCTATAAAAACAGAACGCACCCCCAAGCACACCACATTTCAGTCCATTTGGATTTGGTGTAAGACAGCCTCAAGCGCTGGACGAGGTTTAAGGGGCGACATATCAGCCTGTATTTTTATAACGCCTTTTGCTATAGTTATAACATATGTTTGTTTGTTTTCTTCTGATTATTATAACCAAAGTAAATTTAGTACCGTACCAGCTGCAAAATGGACTTCCATATCTTTATTGGCAATGATTGCTGTTATGTTGATTGGTTATTATTTGTGGACTTATTCTGTTATAAGGTTGCATGCAAGGCTTTGGTACCATTGGTGGCAGAGAGAGGCCATTGTCAGGTATAGTACCTACCTACTATAGTACATTAATGACTACATGTGTAGCCATTAATGTCTACTAATTGGGGGAAACACCTACAGACATCTCTACAAAAGCTGCAATATATCATTTTAATCATAAAAAGATATTTTGTTAAAATTAACGTTTGCTATATATGGTACCTACCATGTGGTTCATTAATATTGCAAAATTCCTGAAATGAAAATTAAATAAAGTTTTTATATACAACTAGTTTCTGGAAACCCTTTGTTTCTGAGATACAGAGTGCAAGTTTGTAAAAATGTCTTATTTTTTTTTATGTATCAAAGACCCTTAATTCGATTTTTTAAAAACTTCTTGTCTTAAATTTTAATCAGGAAAATTAAGATCAAAAGTCAATACATTTATTTTTCAGAAATCCAGAGAAATTACAATTCAATACGGATTTATCAAATTACATATAAGTAATGAAACAAAAAATAAATAGTAAAAGTAAAATATTACACCCAGGTAGCACAACGTGACGAAACCGTGACGGTTTGTGTCCAATTGGACACAAATCGTCACGGTTGGAACCGCCAAATTTGATGTTAGTATACGAGTGGCGACTATATATAGTCGCCACTCGTATACTAACATTATAATGATCTTAAAAATTGAGAGAAAGTGAGGTTAAAACTATCTGACAAATGTCAGATATTATGATACTATAATCATTTTAAAATTAGTGTTTCCAAAAACTAGTTAATGGGAAACTTACTTTTTATTGTTGTTATTTTTATGGAAGGAATCTTAAACAAAATTTTTGTTCAATAATAATGAATCACTCTGTATACCACATATTTTTAAAAACATTTTGTTGGGGGAAGTGGCAAATGTAGGTAAGTTACCAATTGGTCTTAAGATTACAAATCAATAATACTGTGCTCTTATAATAATATATTGGCGGCTTTAAAAGTTTTGCGAATTCGAAAAAATGGTAAAGGAAAATTCGTCTTGAAAGTTTAATTTTAGGGGGATGTTGTTACTTTTGGTTTGTCTCTGCTTTGGGGTTAAGAGTTTAGTAAACTCTTAAACTCAGTTTACCAAAATTTAATTTTGGTAAACTCTTGACCACTATAGTGAAATAGGTACTTTACTCTTTAAATGTAAAAGTGTATTTATGGGTTTTTGCATTTGCTCCACAAAAATAAACCTATTGCATTTTCAACCATTTAAGAAAGAACCTTTTGGTGCTTATTTTTTTTAGATATATTCCATCCAGTTCAATACATTTGTCAGATCAGGAAACGGCGATTAATCCACCAAGCAATACTCCAGCATCACTATCAGATGGTGACATTAGTGATGTGGAAATTGTGAACTGCGTAAATTTCAGTGATACTTCAGTGAAAGCCACAGTTGAAGAGATTAACGAGTTCCATAGGGGCGATAACGTGCAGTAAAATTTGTTGTTTTAATTTAGTAATATTAATAAATCACCTATTGGGTTTTATATTAAAAAAGTTATATTTTTAATAATTATTCTAAAACTATTTACAAATAAGGTAAAAAGATTGGGGAATATGTACATACAACATATTTGCAGTTACAATAAAAAATAAACAAAATGAATAGTCATTAAAGTGATCCCTTCTCGAAACCTACTGTGCCTTAGGATTTAACTATTTTTCACTATAACATTTTATAACCATATTGTCCATAACAGCAACAGCAGCAGTTTGTTCAAGGAGATCCAGGAAATTTCTTATAACCCACAGTTTCTCGTTATTATTGTCAATCGCATACTTTAGTAAACTCATTGCAGTACTGTTGCTTGACTTCAAAATACCGCTTCTTATTAAGTGTTCCAAATCGAGCAGTTTCGCCAGATCGCTTGTGCCGCTTTGGTCGACCAAAAAAGATATTTCTTTCAACGCTTCCGGCGTAAATCTGGCGACTTTGTTGTACATCAGTTCCAATTCGTCAGTTTTTTCTACTTTAACCACCGTTGTTTCGTCCTCGTTCAGGTCTATCTGCATTTCGTCGTCTGAAGAATCCATATCCAGTTCCTGCTTAATACTCAGAGAAATATTGTGTTCCGTCATATAATTTTGTATCATTTGTTGTATTTTTGTATTCGTCGATTCGTTGATTATGGCGGCTTGGAAAGCGGCAATGCCGTTAAAGTCCTTTTTAAAGAAATCCAAATTCTTGTGGTACAAAATGAATCTGACAGCCTCCTCGTAGTCTTTTTCTATGGCAAACCGAAGAGGTGTAAACCCGTTGTTATTATGCTGGTTGTTGATATCAGCGCCGTTGTTTATGAGAAGCTTAATAGCGGGCATGTGCTTTTTCTCTATAGCTATGTTCAAGGGCGTATCACCATTATCATTTGTAACGTCAAGATTAATGCTTTTGCTGATCAACAGCTCCAGTATTTCTATGGAACATCGGCACTTGGCCGCCAGGTGCAACGGGGTGTTTTGTTTGGTGTCTTCAATCAAAGGATTCACTTCCAATTTAAGTAACCACGTCACGAAGTGTACATTGTTGCATATAACAGCCAAATGTAGAGGCGATTGTCCGTGGGTGTTCAGCTTCTCGAATAAATCGTGCGCTTTACAAGAATTCACCAACTTGAGTATGTTTAAGACGTTTCTGGTGTTGTTTTCCAGTATAAACACGTGCAAAGGATTAGTTTCCCCGTCGTTACCAAGGTAACATTGCAACATCTCTTTGATTCTCTCCAGAGACGGTTTGCTTCTGATCAAGTTTTGCAACTGCCTGAACGTGTCGTAGGCTCTGACGTGCTCGACAGAGGAAACTTCCATTTTAATCACAACGGAATCCTGCACCGCCAACTCCTGCATTTGCGATTCGACCACGTGACCGTCAGTGGCGCACGTATCGGGAGAGGTATAAATCTGCATCAAATCGCTCTGCTGCATCGACTGCAACAATTGATTGAACTCTGCCGAATCTATGTTATTGCAAGCGTTCAGAAACTCCTTGCTTAAATTTGGCAGACCGGTATCCCAGTTGGTGTCCTGTGGGTTCGCTATGGTAACCGGCAGCTCGTCGCTGGGGAAGTTGGAGCTGTCGTAGCTCGTGCTGACGCCGTCGGATCGCGGCCTCTTCCGCCCGGGTCGGTAAATGTTGTCCGACGGGGTGTAGATGAACTCCTTGGGGTCACTTCTCGCGTTGTCCGACGGCCTCACAAGCTCGATAAAGACTTTGACTTTGCTGGTGATGTCGAGGTTTTTGTACCGCGGAGTTTTAAACACAATCGCGTACTGATGGTGGACGTCCAAATCGGAGTGTTTACCGTAGTCCTCCCAAACTTCCGAGCCGTCGTCGTCCAATTCGAAGAACCTAATTCTTACGTTCTTCTTTGTAACTCTTTCGACTAAAATAAATATTTCTCTGTTGCCCTTTGCAGGGCTCGTACAGTGGTCCATTCGGACTATCTTTAATTCTCCAGTAAGAGCCGATTTTAAGTTGTTTATCCCGTGGGTAAATATGGGTTTACATATTGGATACAATACACCTTCGATATCCTCGAAGGCATCAAATCTTAGACAAACAATGTTCAAATTAATCGACTTGCACTCCGATTCTGCTTCTTGCTTTATGTCGTGAACTTCCTTTTTGTTCAAGTCGCGTTTCACGCCCTCGTTTCTCGCAATCGCTTCTTTTTTTAAGTTAGTTTTTTTCTTCATCAGTTCAGACACGATGTTCTTTTTCGCCGTGTGAATTATCCCCATAGAATGAAAGCTGGCAACGTAGCCTTCATCTGGAGATACGACCAAGGAGTGGGGATCGTCGACTTCGTCTTTGCCGTGCTTTTTTATCAATCTGTGGGCATGGGGTTTCATATCTGTTTCTGTAAGAAAAATTAAAGTTATAAAGTTTACAATTAAATATACATTCTTTGCAAAAATAATAATCCACACCAGAAAAAAAAATTCCTAGCATTTTTTTTATTGCATTAACAGGATTACAATATAAAACAGTATATATATATGAGGGTTAAGTCCTACAAAGTAGACAATTACAGTTAATCAATAATTATTGTAAAAATAATTATTCTTTAACAAAATATGTAGTTAACATTAATACTAAAAAATAACAATTCATTTAGCAAATAGTTAAAATTATTAATAATGTTTTATAAGTAGCTCAGGCAGGCTTGATTGGCATCTAAACTACTTTTAAAATCTTATCAATAAGTTTGGTTTAATATAAAAACGCCAGGGCAAATTTCGGCAAAACACATTTAATATGGAAACAAACTAAATCTTAGACAATTAATGAGAATGAACGCGTAATGAAGGTTTAATAAACTTCACTTCAGGGTTGACAGATACTTTTGACAGTAGGAATAGCCGCATTGGCACCCTAGATCATGAAGTCTAAACAAACAGTCGGAACCCTCATGTATATAAATAATTTTCCAAAATAAGAGGGCGCTGGTGTTGTTTGTTGTTTGGTTCGTACCGAAACTGGAGGGGTGAAAGCAGACGTCAGTAAAAAATGGAAAGTGGTAAAAAGAGAACATAATTTATGCAATTTAGTGGACAGGTTCTGTTAATTCCTCTTATTGAGTTTGTACTCATTGTAATGGGTAACACCCCACATTTTTTGCTGTGTCAACACTTCTGTGGGTAAAAGGCATAAGGGGATAAGTCAAAAAAGGCAATTTTTCAGTAGAGCCTTAAACGTATTAGCATTAATTCAGGAAACATATTTATGGTTAGCGGGTATACCCTTTTGTTACCACATGTCATATGCTAACAAAAGCGTATACCCGCTAAACATAAATATATTTCCTGAATTAATGCGATCACGTTAAAGGCTCTATTAAAAAATTCCTTTTTTTGACTTATCCCCTTATGCCTTTTACCCACAGACTTTAACACCCGCACAACTTTATTCTTCTTCTTATGTAGCCACTAAGCGTGCGTTAACACCATTTTATCTATAGAATTTCATGGATGATCAAAAACCAATCAATGAATGGAAAATGTCTTTTTATATTCCTGTAAAAATGTGTAGCCCATTTATAGCCAATTTGCTAAAAATGTAGCCCAAGTAGAAGCCTGTAGCCGTCTGGAATTTTTGAAAGCCAAAGAAGACGTAATTTGCTATAAATAGCTCAATCTGCGAACCAAGTAGTGAAGTGTGCCAAAAGTGAACCAAAAAATTGCGTCGCTTCAAGGTGTTACCAAGTTTGTTTTGTGTTTTTGCGTGAATAGGAATTTAAAAATGGAGCCGACTGATAAATGGCACACTTAATCCGTTGTTTTGACCTTATGGTCGTTTCCCCCTCAACATAACCTACAAATGTGCTTGAATTTTTTATCGACGTCATTTTTTGGTTCACATTTTTAACGTTTTGATTACTGGATCTTTATATTACCCAAAGTTTTTTCTTGTAAGCCAGTGCCTTGTTCGATTTTTTTATTATGGTTTAAAAAGTATTAAACAAGTTAACACACTGGAATTATTTTAAGAAAGGGATATTTTTTTACATAACTCTATTATAGAATATATAATACAGGGTGCGGCAACTTAATTTCCTTTTTTTAAAACGCAATAAAACCTATTTTATGAAACAGAATTTTTTTTTATAATGTAGGTAAATATCTAAAGTTTTGTTTCAAACAGTTTTAAAAATCATATTAGGTAAGTGGCGGCCCCTATTCTCCATACACTGAATAAACCGATTTTTGGCGTTTGCCATAACTCTTACCAGCATATCAGCGGGTATGTTGGCAGTTACTTCACGGACATTGGAGATTTTAAAAAACTCCACAAAAAATCGCAAGGAGTCAAATCGGTAGAACGGGCTGATCACTTCAAATTGGAAGGTTTTCGAGAAGCGCCTCACATGCGTTTCTCAGAGAATCGAAGTCACGTTCGGATAGTTCTTGCACAATCGCCATCTTGTATGGATGGTAAAGAAGGTTATCGTAAAGGATAAGCATGTTTGCGCGCAGAACGCCATGGGGATCGCAAGATTGAAGCCTCACTGCCTTAATGTTTTCTGGTGATCTGATGGGCCGAGAGACTGCAGTTCTTGATTTTTTCGTATTTGTGGTTTGTCTAAACGTATTGACCAATCTTACAATTGATTTCCGGGCAGGGACAGGGCCCAACAACGCTACATTAAAGCGATTTTGGAAGGCACGCTGGGTTTCGATCACAGAACATCCGTTCTAAAAGTAGGCCTCGAAGGCAATCGCGCGCTTCTCGCTGTTTCCGGGCAGGAAACAAAACTTTAACACCACGCCTGTCGAATGAGACCACTTTCGCCCCGCTACGACTCCTACAGCCTGAATGGCGCGCATTTCAAAAAAGGAAATTAAGTTGCCGTACCCTGTATTATAGGACATTTGCGAGTTTTTTTAATAATTTACTATAACAAACAGTATGATACAAAAAATGTAAAAACTCATGGGTTACAACTAAAAATGTGACGTAAAACTTTTATTAATACAATCAAGCATAGTTTTGTCTTTTTGGGCCCTTTTTTGCAAAGAAAGTATATTTAATTTAGCATTAAAATATAATTTAAAATTTTAGCAAAAACTTGTAAAAGGTTGATTTTAGAAAAAAAATGAAATACATAAGGAAATGTAGTTTTCCACAAAAAATTTCATATAAGTTGAATCTCTAAAATTTTAGCAAAAACTTGTAAAAGGTTGATTTTAGAAAAAAAAGGAAATACTTTTTTAGTAGGAAATGTAGTTTTCCACAAAAAATTTCATATAAGTTGAATCTCTAAAATTATTAGTTTAAAATATATATGAAATATATATTAAAGTCGTCAAAAATTAAAACTTTAGAGTTTTTCCACTTATTTTATTTATTGGGTACCAAAAACAATTTAAATTTGTAAAATATTTAAGGTAGGGACTTTAATGTAAAGCTAAGTTTTATTCAATCAAATAAAAAAAAACAAAGCTTTTTAGTGGAAAACGCCGTTCCAGTTCTTAAAATAATTATTAATATTATTTATTATAAGCCCAAAATTGGACTAAACTATTATTTACATACAAGCAGACTCTATAGAGTAGATGACAATGTTAATGATTATTGACAGAATATACTTTATTGTAAATTATTGTATCATGATACAATAATTTACAATAAAGTCTGCAGTTTAAAAAAAACAATGTTTTCTTTTCTAACTGAGAAAAAAAACCGTTTTTATTTACATCTCCATAGATATGTAAAAAAACGTTTATAGATAATGTTAGATTATAAGCAAACAAATAAGATAATTTTGCTACACTAGATAATGTTAATAGATAAATACAAAAATTGACATGTGGTTTAATAAATTAGTTATTTAAGTTAATTCCCTAATTTTATTTTATTATTTATAAAAAAAACTTAATTTAAGTGATCATTATTAATAATTTAATAAATAAAAAATACTTTATTGGGTACCTACTTACTACAAAACAACAAAGCATGCCATGCTTTGTTGCTTAGCATGGTAATTTACCATGACCTTGTCTAAAACACTATATGTACTTATAAATAAAAATACTCTAGTAAAAAGTAGTTTTACAAAAAAAAATATATTTACCTTCTGATTTAATTTGATAAATAGAGCATCTAATTATGGCAGTTCTATGAAAATTCAACAGCTCAACTGTTGGATAAGTCTGCTTTCTTGACTTATCTGATGAGGTACCCGTTAAACTGCCATGTGTTCCAGCCATTTCAGATTTGTACCGAAATCTGAATTTATCTATGGGCTGTTCGATAATCTTTAAGGATGGCTGGTCCACCATCATGGTATCTTCGTTTTGAATATATGAAGTCCCCACAGAATATACATGCCCTTCTCCTGTAAATGCATCTGCTCTGAATGTGTTTGAACCTGGGGATGCAACAAAATACATAGGTCTTGGAGAATCCTCATTACTTGAGGGGGGCGTTGGTATATTTGGGAAACTCATTTCTTTTGTGTTGTTCCACGACCAATTGTAATTAATCGGTGGAGCTATGGGAGTTATAGTTTCCATGCAGACTGATTGTATCTGCAAATATCAAAGAATATTTAGAACACAACAACAGATCATAAAGGTTACACAACAAACAACAAAAGCTACAATGAATAGGTAAATGTTAAATGTTGGTGATGGGTGAAACAGGAATTGTGTGCCAAACATGCTTTGGGAAACGGTAGTTTTGTGTGCTATTTCTTAGAATAAACACTCAAAAATATCACCTATATTGTAAACAAGAACAACACACACAATAGAGGTAATTACAAAATAAATAATTTCGTAAATTTAATACTGTTAATAAAACACGATGGTGTGTCACATACAATGTTCAAAACAAAACTGCGACAATTATCTGCAAAACGAATTTCAATATAGAAAAAGGGATTTCCCCTTTTAGAATTCTTACTAAGCCACATGACGTCACTTAATGGGGAACGGTATTTCACCGACTTTTAGTAAAAATAAACAGCAGGATAAACATGGGCATTGCATTTATGATATTTTTTTTATTAATCAATTGCTGACTAACTTACCCATATTTATTCCAAATTTGTTTCACAATTTTGATAATAAAAATATGATAAAAATATATTCTAACCTATAGACGGTAACTACGCGTCAAGGTTTTCACACAGAGACGGACTTAGCCACAATTGTGGATTTAGGGAATTTTGATTTTGAAATCCTCTAGGAGTACCCGATGAAAATATTTTTTACATGTGTAGTCAACTTTTAAGTGGATCGGTAATCCAACACCGTAGCATGGCAAATTTGCAAGACAGCAGATTTGAATAATCGATGAATTAATTATAGCTTCTTGTGGTGTGAACATACTTAATTTTAAATAACTTCCATGCTTAACCACTAAATTGTGAATTATGAAATAAATTAATATAAGTTGAACAAACCCGCCATTAATATAGTTTTCTGTTTCAAAAATTGTGCATATATCACTATAGTGATAGCGGGATTCATCGTAAATCATTTATGTAAAGTCTATAAACTGGAGTTAGTGATTCACTAACCCCAGTTGATAGACTCTTCATGATGAATCCCGCAACCGGAATTAATTTACTAAACTATTTATTGCTAAAGTATATTTTAGGCTTAAGCCAATAATTCCTAATTCCTATACCGAGCATTTAAACTGCAAAATTTGCAGGCAAATGGAAGTCAGGGCAGGCACAATAGTAAAATCGCGCAAGTTTTTGTATTGCGCATGTCCCTGAACATGGAGTCTACACAAGGAGTCCGAACTTCATGTAAACAAGAATCTTCCTAAAATAAGAGGGCGCTGGTGTTCCGTTTGTTCTGAAACTAATTTGTACCGAAACGCTACCAAAAGAGCAAACGTCAGTACGCATCGACAATCAGCGCCGCTGTTGGTGAAAAAAGACTTAATTTGTGCAATTTAGAGGGCAGGTTTTGTGAATTTCCTTGTGCAGGCTCCATGTCCCCGAACGTCAGAGGCCCTGGCGTCCATTTGACAGTTAAAATGCTCCGTAGGAACAAACTCAAAATAACTGTGTACTCGAACAAACCTATTAGGAGTTTAATGTTTATTTTTATTTATTTTCTTTTCATTATATTATATAAATAACAACAAATATACACAAGAGCTCTAGTGTTTAAATCTAGATTTAAATAAAATGTCTGTTCGTAGCGCGCCTTTATTAACTACCCTAAAGTATTTAAATCATATGGTAGAATATTCCATCATGCCTGTTGTATTTTACCATATTAATGTATAATGCACATGATTGTGGTATAATGCACAATCCACACAACATTTTTGCTAGGAACTTCAAACCGACCCTTTATAATCTGTGAACCGACCTTTAAATAAAATACCAACATAAGCAGTGTTGCCAGATGTAAAAGTTGAAATTATCGAATTTGGTTAATAAAATTATCGAATTTTCGGAAAATTATGTTACAATAATTGTAATCATTATGTTACAATAATTATTATAATTTAATCATAAAAAAGTGAAAGAAGCAGGGTTGAAAATATTATCGATTTTTTGGAAATTACTGCTGGTTGGAATGAACTATAAAGCTGGATTTATAGTTCAGAAAGTAGCGGTAGCGGTAATGGCGGGCCCTCGCATAAACACTAAACTTACAAGGCGAGGCTGTCAACTAAAAACTGCCATGTGATTGGCTGGAGTAGCGGTTGAGGCAAGAAAAGATGAAAGATGGTCATCTCTTGCCGCTACGTTCTTGCCTCTACTTCCCTTACCGCTACCTCTGACAACTATAAATTGTTTCATATAATATTCAATGCCCAACTTGGCTACCGCTACCTCTGCAGAGCTCTGCCTCTACCGTTACCTTTAGAACAATAAATACCGTACGGGAATCTATAAACAGCACTACGGTATTGTTGATCTTTTACGGCAGGAAGGAAGGAAATCTATAAATCAGGCTTTATGCTTAATTAAATTAATTAATCTGGATAGAATTAAGTTAATTTTGTCCAGATACTTGGATTAAAAATTATGTTACAATTATCGATTATGTTACATATAATTTTCAAGCTTTGTTTTTAGAAAAATTTATGTTACAATTCGATAATTATGTTACAAGTGGCCACAGAACATAAGCAAGTGGCAACACTGAACATAAGGTAAAATAAGGTTTAAAATTTTGTTAAAGAAACCATTATTAAAATATACATTTCTTTTACTTTTAAATAGATGGCGCATAAAGCACAATATACCATATACTTACCACAAGTATATGCAATATAAAAATACATTCCCGAGAGAAAAATATCACCAGTCTTCTAGTTTAATAAAAACCCACGAAAAATAAAAGTAGGTACCTACCCCTTTAGTAAAATATAAATGTATTAATAAATTTACTTTACAAAAAAAGGGATGGGTATAGGTTCTTTTTAGTTAACGCTTTTACAAAAACTAAATTAATTTTAAATCCAGAGAGAAAACAGCCTGTATTATACAGGTATTTAAAAATAAAGTATGTCTCCGGGGGTCCGGACAAAATTTAAGAAATACCAAATATTAATTTTACCTATTTAAATTTGCCAAGGTGTTCTAGATAGATTGAACTTAGGGCTCTGGATCGCAGATGAAAATTGTAAATTGGCGAATTGGCAACACGGCAGCCCAGTTCAATAATCAGCCGAGCATAGTCATTTACAGTGTTGCCCATGCTAAGATCCGTGTTGCCTAATTTAGTATTGTTTCAGACTGCATACGGGGAGGACGTATGACAGTTTCCCTTAAAAATTTGCAATAAAAACACTAGATAAAAAAGGATTTTCAGAAGTTTCTCAACACATAACCCGTTAATTTGGTTATTCTAACTATATCCTAGAGATTTACGCATTCGTAGCATTTTTAATTGCAAGAATCTGTTACGACTACGACTTTCACCTTACAGATAGAGTGTCTAGTGAATAAAAAGGTGTAATGTGACATATTCGCCGTTAGATTGTGTTATTTTTATTTTGTTTATAACTGTGCGAGGTGAAGTGAGCCCAAATTTGGGTAAAAAAGTAGTATTTGACTGCATATACTGTATTAATCGATACTATTGCGGTGTTGCCAATAGTCGCACTTCCCGTTATTTATCTGACAACGTTGATCTTCCATAACCACACAGTAAGTTAAAATATCTGCAACTTGATTTTAATCTTCTCTGTTATTTTAATACATTGAAGTTAATAAACATAGTACTGTCATGTTTGTTATGTTATTACAGCTATTTAATTATTCCCCACGTGTCAAAGACAGTGTAAATCACGCTTCTCACGTGAACAACACTTTCACTTGTTTATTGTTTTTGGTTAAAATAACATTTTTTACACATTTTTTGCTTGCCTTGACACAGTTTTTATATTTAGAGGCATTAAATTGTTTTAATTATGTAGGTATTATAAATAAACTAATACCTAAATATTACCATTTGTTAAGGTACCTTTACACAAGCTATGCCACGCTTTATATATAACTATACATACATTGAATATTTTGGGACACTTTCAAAACCAATAATCGCGATTATTTTATCATTGTTTTTAAACTAACTGCCAGTAACAATAAACTTGTTTGATGTCATTTATTTTTAGAAGTGCATTACATTGACCCAAATTCATTGAAGAAATTTTATATTCTCGTACCTACCTACTTAAACTTTTTTTAAGGCATTCAAAAATTGTTATACAAACATGAATAAGACCGTAGTTAACATACCTAAATGTTTTTCACAAAAATTTTAATTTTGTTTTAACTATGGTTTTGTTCGGATTTTAGTAAAATCTATTTTATAATTTTACCCAATCCAACCAATTTTATTTCACACATAGTTAGTCATACTTATTATGACTTTTTCATTTCAAGCATGTTATTTTTGTCACAGAACATAATATTTTTGTTTCCGTCAGGATTCCTAAATCAGGAACCTTGGGGTAATCCTTTGGCACTTTTTAGATGGCTTATGTTAGCAATTAGCAAAAGTCATTCCTCTCGTTGAGACGAAAATAAATGAGAATCGTTTGTTCGCGTCGAATAAAATTCCCGACGACTCGGGCTACTAGACGTACATAGTTTCGAATGTGAATGTCTTTCGTTTTGTGGTCTTTTTGCGAGCCACAAGGCTCCGGCAATTATAGACTTTCCAACTTAAATATAGACCTGCTCGCAAGAAAACACAAAGGTGCATGGCACCTACATACTGCAATCACTCCCTCTTCTGCTCGATCTTTCTTTGTTCCCTTAGGTCTTTGATCTATCACGATTGTTGGGAAATTATCGCGGGATCGCGTGAAAAATGCCTACCTTTCTTTAGATAGTGGGTAATTATTTGTAAAAGAGACTACTTTTCTTGGTACTCTTATCCGTATTTGTGTTAAAACCGGTTCCTAGAATTGCACAAACAATATTTTGGTTTTAATATAAATAATTATATTTCTGGTGCAAATAATCTTATTGATGACAAGCTTTGGAAATATGTATGAATTTTGAAGTTATGCTTCTTTAACGCAGGCTTCGAGATGGGAATTTAGCCAAATGAGCAAAGATTTGTCGCAACAGTTCGCCATATATACCTAGCGAGGCTAGGCTAGCGTCAAAGTACAAATTACAGTTACCTGTAAAAAGTTATAAAATGGTAGGGCAAATTCGCACAGTGGGCTAAATAAAAAAATAGTAGGACAAATTTAAAAATGGCAGAACAAATTCGCACAGTAGTATCTATAAATACATTTTCAAATAACTTAAATTTTCAAGAATTCTTAAGATTTCAAGAATTTTCAAATTTTTTTTAAATTAAAAGCATGAGAAGCATAGCTTTTGTCGTGCGTCCACTCACATGTATGTATATCAAACACGTAAATTACAATTATGATAAATTTTCCATTAATTATATTTTTTTTACTTCCACCTTTATATATACCCATTATTTGACATTTGACATTATTACACATTCTATGGTTTTATAGATGCCGCTCTATACAAATATTTAATTTAAATCATTTTTAGATAATAATAAGTATTTGTCGTAGAAAAAGTATAGTATACAACTCGTTTATAAACTTTTTTAATATGGCGTTTAATACATAA